AACATGATTCCAGATTGTTTTCCGGAATCATTGGAATCATAGCTCAACGTGTTTGTCTCCCACAACCTTTCCAACATTGACCATTTTCATTTTTGTCACCTTTGCTGATTTACTAGATGTGAGATGAAATGAGTTATTTTAATTTGTATTCATCTTGCCATGATTTGAAATAATCTTTCCATATGAGCATTAGCAGTTGGCAATTCATCTTCTGAGAACTATTTGTTTATATGCTTTGACCACTTACCTGTTTGGAACTGACTTTTGCTCACATATTTAATTCTCTGTGTAAATTGACTACTATATATCCTTTATCAGACATATGATGCAGTTTTTTGACAGCTCCTGTGATGGATATTTCTTTGTATCTTCAGGGCCTACTATAATGCCTTGTAAATCATTGGTACTTAATAAGTAAAATTTAGTTCTCTGTAAAGCAGCTCTTTTAATAAGCCTTTTAGTTTTAGCTTCAACACACCATTTCTGTTGTGTACCAGGAATTGCCATAGCTCCTACTTTGAAAACCACTTGTATAGAGGACTGAGAAAGACTGTATGAACACTTGGCAGGAGGCTTTTAAAATGATCCATGCCAGTGGTCCTGATTGTCCCTAATACTGTGGTAGTGGGAATTGTTTTGAAGGATATTATAGAGTTTGAAACAATAGGACTTGATAAAGGGATATCAAGGGTGAGAGAGAAGTAAAAGTCAGGGGTAAAACCAAAGTTTCAAATATAAGGATCTGACAGAAATTATGAAATTGGAAGGAATAGTAAGTTTTGGGGAAGAGGTATTAAATTTCAATGGAAACATGTTGAGTTTGAGCTTTAAGTGGGGTGTGCAGGTAAGCCCTGTAGCCAATTTGTGGTATTTTAGCAGCCTTGGAGAACAGTTCATTTGATCGAAAGGCAAGGACCTTATCTCATTGGTGCCATAAATGGTCAAATCCTTTTCTTTCTTAACTTCAGTCAATCAACAAACATTTATCAAGTACCTACTATATGCCAGGTGCTGGGTATACAAGACAAAAATGAAGCACTTCTTGTTCTTAGGAAGCTTACAATCTAGTGAAGTGAGACAACACATAAAAATATAGGTATATTTGCAAAACAGATACTAGATAATAGGGGTGGGGGAGGCACTAGCATCTGGGATCAGGAAAGACTTCAAATAAAAGGTGGCACTTGGGCTGAGTCTTGAAGGGAACTAGGGATTCTGAGAAATGGAAATGAAAGGAATGCGTTTCAGACATGAGGATAACCAGTACAAAGGCAAGAAGATAAGAAATTTAGCACCATGTGTAAGGAGCCATAAAAGGGCAAGTTTTGCTAGACCATACTTTGTATGAAGGCTAGTATTATGTAATAAGTTTGAAAAGCAGGATGGGTACAGGTTGTGAATACTAAACCAAGAAGTTTATGTTAGATCTTACAGATAATGGGGAGCCTTGGAGTTTATCAAATAGGGGAATGAAATGGCCAGACTTATGCTTTAGGTAAATCACTTTGGCAGGTGTATGGAGTATAGATTAGAGTGGGAAGAGACTCAAAGGAAGGAGACCACTTAGAAACCAGGCAAGAGATGAATAGGTTCTGAAATAGGGTAGTGATTATGTAAGTAGAAAGGATAGAGGAAAGGGAAAAGATGGGAGAGATATTGTGGAGGTAGTAATTACAGGATTTGGTACCTTATTGGATACATATGGTCTGTGAGAGTGAGTGGTTGAGGATAACGCTAAAGTTGTGAATCTGGGTAACTGGAAGAATGGTCATGCCCTTGACTGAAGTAGGGAAATTTGGGAGTGGGGTGGGGTTAGGAGAAAAGATAATGAATTATATTTTGGCTATATTGAATTTGAGATGCCTATGGAAGACTAGGTCAAGATGTACAACAGGAAGTTTGTAATGCATACTTAGAGCTCAGGAAAGAGATGTATCATGGGTATATAGATCTGGGAATCATATTCATAAAGATAACCCCATATGAGCTGATGAGGTTACCAAGTGATAAGAGCATATAGACAAAAGAATAGATTCTAGGACAGAGTCTTAGGATATACCCACAGTTAGAGGCTGTGATATGAATAATGATCCAGCAAAGAAGACTGAGAATAAGTCAGATAGTTAGGAAGAGAGCAAAGGGAGAACAGTATTATGAAACCTAAAGTGGTGAAAATACCTAGGAGAATGGAGTGGTCACCAGTGTCATGTTACAGGGAGGTAAAAAAAGGATGAGGATTGTGAAAAAGCCATTGATTTGGCAATGAAGAGATCGTTGGTAACTTTGGAGAGAGCAAGTAAGGGGACTAGAAGTCAGAAAAGGTTTGAAATGAGAGGAGAGGAAACTGTATAAATACAGAATAAATGCAAAATAAATACAAGGTAGTTCAGACAGGGAGAGCATTAGTAGTTTTGTGGGTGTAACTGGTGATAGGTGGGGGGAAGGAGGAACATCTTTATGTAGAAGGTAATACTTCAAGTCTTGAGGTTGTAAGAGATTCTTTGAGATGGAAGTGAAGAGAGAGTATGTTCTGGGCTTGGGGCATAGCTAGTACAAAGTTATAAAAATAGACAATGGAGTGCCATAAGTAAGAAAGAGAAGGTCAGATTGCCTCAATTGTAGAGTACAGGAAGGGGAGTAATATATAATGAGGTTGGAAAGATAAATTGGAACAAGGTTGTGAAGGTCTTTAAAAGCTGAATAGAGAAGTTTATATTTTATCCAAATAATAGGGAACCACTAGAGGTTTATTTAGTAGGGGCAGGATGTGATCAGACCTGCAATAAGAAAATATTGATGTTTTATTGAAGTTTTATTAAACTTTTTTTCTTTAAAAAAAACCACTTTGTTACAAGGAATGGCTTGATGGATAGGCAAGGGGAAAGGATTTATTTAGAAATGAAGGTGATGCCCCAATTGATAAATGGTCAAAAGATACAAACAGGCAGTTCTCAGATAAAGAAATTAAAGCTACCCGTAGTCATGAAAAAATGCTCTAAATCACTATTGATTAGAGAAATGCAAATCAAAACAACTCTGAGGTACCGTATCACATCTATCAGATTGGCCAGGATGACAGAACAGGAAAATGATAAATGTTGGAGAACATGTGGGAAAATTAGAGCACTCATGCTTTGTTGGTGGAGTTGTGAAATGATCCAACCATTTTAGAGAGCAATTTGGAATTATGCCCAAAGGGCTATAAAAATGTGCATACCCTTTAACCCAGCAATAGCACTTCTAGGGCCGTATCCCAAAGAGATCATAAAAATGGGAAAAAGACCCACATGTACAAAAATATTTATAGCAGCTCTTTTTGTGGTGGCCAAGAATTGGAAATTGAGGGGATGCCCATCAATTGGGGAGTTGCTGAACAAGTTGTGGTATGTGAATGTAATGGAACACTATTGTGCTATAAGAAATGATGAGCAGGCAGACTTCAGAAAAACCTGGAAAGACTTGTGTGGACTAATGCTGAGTGAAGTGAGTAGAACCAGGAGAATGTTGTACACAGTAACAACCACGTTGTGCAGTGACTGACTTTGATAGACTTAGCCCTTCTCAGTAATACAGGGATCTAAGACATCTCTAGAAGTCTCATGATAGGAAATGCTATCCACATCCAAAGAAAGAACTATAGAGTTTGAATACAGATGGAAGCATACTATTTGCCATTTTTTCTTCTGTTTTGTTTTGTTTCCTCTTTCTTGTGGTTCCTCCTTTTGGTTCTAATTCTTCCTTACAACATGACTAATGTGAAAATATGTTTAATAGAAATGTATATGTAAAGCCTATATCAGATTGTGCTCCATCTTGGGGAGGGAGGGGGGAAGGGAAGGGGAGAAAAATTTTAAGCTCAAAATCTTATGGAAGTGATTGTTGATATGTCAAAATAAATTAATAAAAAATTAAAAAATGAAGATGATGTAAATAAAAAAGGAAGCAGTAAAATAGTATTTTAAAAAGGCGATAATAATGATGCATTTTCTTTTCTTAAAATTAAATTTATTTTTAGTTTTGAACATTCACTTTTTTTTTTTTGGTGAGGCAGTTGGGGTTAAATGACTTGCCCAGAGTCACACAGCTAGTGAGTGTTAGGTATCTGAGGCTGGATTTGAACTCAGGTCCTCCTGACTACAAGGCCAGTGCTCTATCTACTGAGCCACCTAGCTGCCCCCTGAACATTCACTTTTATGAGATTTTGACTTCTAAATTTTTCCTGTCCCTCCTCTCTTCTCCTCTCTCCCCAAAACAGCATGCAATCTGATGTAGGTTATACATGTACAGTCATATTAAACATATTTTCACATTAGTCATGTTGTGAAAGAAGAATCAGAACAAGAGAAAAACCACGAGAAAGAAAAAACAAAAACAAAAAAAGAGAAAAGACCATGCTTTAATCTGCATTCACACTCCATACTTCTTTCTCTGGATGTGGATAGCATTTTCCATCATGAGTCTTTTGGAACTGTCTTAAATCATTACATTGCTGAGAAGATCTAAGTCTATCAAAGTTGGTCATCATACAGTGTTGCTGTTACTGTGTTCAATTTTCTCCTGGTTCTGCAGCATCAGTTCAAGTCTTTGTAGATTTTTCTGAAGTCTGCCTGCTCAATCATTTCTTATGGAACAATAGTATTCCATTACATTCATATGATACAACATGTTCAGCCATTCTCCAATTGATGGGCATCCCCTCAATTTCCAATTCTTTGCCACTACAAAAAGAGCTGCTATAAATATCTTTGTATGAGTGGGTCCTTTCCCTTTTTTATGATCTCTTTGAGATACAGATCTAGAAGTGCTATTGCTGGGTCAAAGGTATGCACATTTTTATAGTCCTTTGGGCATAGTTCCAAGTGGCTCTCCAAAATGGTTGGATAATTTCACAACTCCAGATGTATTGGTTTTAATACTTTATCCCATAATCTTTTAATTTGACTCTGGATAATTACATTAATGATGACCTATGTGATTATATGTATTCATTTTCATTTCAGAGGGTGAGTCTAGAAATTGGATGTGCAGGATAACATGTCCAGTGTTTCTGAAGACAGAAGAAACAGACAACAGGATATTAAAAAAGGATTGCAGTTTATACAGTAAGATCTTAAGCCTTAACATTATTTTGAAAGGCAACGTATGATACATATAAATTATAATGCTTCTCATAACATACATTTGTATTTCTTCATAAGAAGTAAATGTAAATCTGGGTTTCTTCTGTGATTTCATAATAAAAATGTTCAGTGACTGACACTTGTCTTATAATTTTCTTTTCTTTTTCATTTCTTACTATCATAGGAAATCATAGGATTTAGAGGACCTTAAAGATCAATCATCATTTAATCCCATTATTTTACAAATGAGGAAACTCATTTGTAAACCCAGAGAGCATTAATTGGCTTCCCTAAGGTTACACAGGTAGTAAGTAGCAGAAGCAAGATTTGAACTCAGTTCCTCAGTACATTTTTCTTTATATTTTATCATCACCCTTTTAAACTTCAGTTTCCATATTTATGAACCTCCTAACACTTCAGACTTATGGTTCCTTGATTTCAATTCTAGTTATATTCTTTCTTTGCTCTACTTGAGTGAGAACCACTAGGAAAGCTTCATTTTAGACCTTATTTGTTATCCCTTTGTTTTCCATCCCCTCAAAGATTTTGAATGCTGAAATTCACTACTCTTGTTATAGTCTTCTGATCTACCCTATCTATGTTTTGACTGCTACTGAGCCTGCTTATCATCTTTATCATGATCACTAAATGTTTAACTTTTCTCTGTTCTTCTAGATCAATCATCACCCCTGTTCTGGTTTTACTAAGTTGATTCAGTTGTCAGACTTTTCAAAAGATAAAAGTTGCTTCAATTCATGAATCCTTTAGTGCTTTACCATATCCTTGCTGCTAATTCTTACATCTGGGTAGCCTTCACCATCAACCTTGTCTACTCCTGCTACCAGACCAATGATACTTCTGGAGAAAGTTACAAGACTATAGTCTCTGGGCTAATTGCAGATTCCTGTTTTCCAACTTAAGTGGGTCCTTCATTGCATGTCAGAGTAGTCTTTTTAACTCCCCATTTATTGCATTCTCCAGGACTGTTCCAAACCCTTTTCTGTCTCATCAAACCCTTAACTCCACCCCTGGTAATCTTCCTGCCTTTCTGACATCTCTCTTTTGCTGTGTTACTGTTTCTTCTCCATCCCCTAAGTGGAGGCATTCTCCAAAACTCTGTCCTTGACATTTTCTTCTCTCTGTTCTTCCTGAAGCTTTGGCAATTTCATCTCTTTTGAAAGCATCAGCGATTGGTCCTATGAAAGTGACTCAGTTCTGTATAGAGCTCCACCTCTTTCCTGATTTCAAACTGTTCCATGGCCCTCTCTAAATTGAGCACATCTTTTTCTCATGGCTTCTTTCATCCTTACTTCACTGTTTCTGCTAATGGCACTGCCATTCTCCCAGGTACCCAACTTCAGAACTTTGAAGTTATTTTGATTCCTCCCTCACTGTTACACTCTGTATCTAACCAGTTGCCAAACCTGTTAAGCCTTTGATGATATCATTTTTATCCATCTCTTGCTGGTTTCATTCTTGCTGTTAGTATCTTAATTTAGGCACTTATTACTTTTATAGTCTCTGACGGGTTTCCTTGCTCTAGTCTCCCTTCTTCAGTCCTTCTTAAATTCTACTACCAGAGTAATTTTTCAGATAGCCAACTCTGATCATGTTGTCGTCTGTCTGAAATAATTCAGTGGCTCCTCTAGCACTGTTTCATAGATTTGTAGAATCTTAGCATTAGAAAGGATATTAGATATCTTTAGGTCCATCTTTTATCCATGATATGAATCCTTTTAACAACATCCCTTATAAATGAGCATCCAGCCTTGGTTGAGTCACTTTCATTGGTGAAAAACTATTATCTCACAAGGGAAAGAGGGAAGAGAATAAGCATTTATACAGCACCTACTATGTGCCAGGCACTGTACTAAGCGGTTTTTTGCCCTTTTTTTGCAAATATTATCTCATTATTTCAGAAGGTACTCTATTCCACTTTTGAACAGCTCTGATTGTTGGGAAGTTCTATTTTTGTGCTAAAATTTGCCTTCCTGTAACTTCTGTTCATTGATCCTAGTTCTGTCCTCCAGAACCACATGTTTAAATATCTCATTTGTAAATGTTTCAAAAATATCTCATTTGATTCCCACAACAGTTTTGGGAGCTAAGTGCTATTATCCCCATTTTACAATAGAGGATACTGAGGCAAACAGAAGTAAAATGTCTAGTAAGTATCTGAGGCTGGATTGACCAAGTGTCTGGAACTCAGTCAGGTCTTCCTGACTCTAGGCTCACTGCTCTATCCACTGAACCACCTAGTGTTTTCAGAAGTAAATGCCTTTGCAATAAGTCCTAACTACTTAGTCTGGGATTAAAGGCTCTCCATGTTCTGATTCTACCTTATATTTCCAGACATATTTTACATTATGCTATTCTCTAGGTAAAATGGATGGTTCAGCTGTTGCCTGAATTTGCCTTATCCTCTCCTACCTCTATATGATTCTTACATTGTCTGTCCTCTAATATTCTAATTGATGTTATATTTTTATTTGTGTGTATGAAACCTACCCATCTAGATTGTAAATTACTTGAGGGCAAAAAATGTATCTCTATATCTTATCAAAATATCTTGGATGTGGTAGATGCTTAATGTGTTCTTGAGTTGGGTGTTTGTCCACTTATAAATTGTACTTTTAGACATTATTTTTCTTTCCATTATTTGCTTTCTATACTCTCATATCAGTTTTAAGTTGAAGTGGAGTCTGCCTTTCCTATTTTAATGTTTAGAGTTAATCTTTTTGTATTTTCGAAAACATTGGATTGAAGGATATACTCTAGTAAGTCATGGAAAGTTTTACTGAATAAACTTTAATGAAAAAACTATTTTTGAAGTTATTTTCTTCATTTATTTTCTTTTCACTTGCTAGAGCGTAAGTCTTATATTCATATAATGATACTTGTCAAAACATAGACAGTTGAACTGTTCTTTGAAAGCAAGGAGATGAATAGACCGTTATTAGCATAATGAATTATAGACTGATAGACTCTTATTTGTAGTCTTCTAAAGTTAAAATCTCAGACTTAGAAATTAATTTGAAAGCTGTTGCTGTCAAACACTGGATCAAATAAAATGGATGTATGATTTTATGCTGCCTTTAAAATTTTTCTTTACACTTTAAAAACTAGCCTTTTTTTTTAATAGTTGCTTCTGGTATAATTTGAGGGACACAAATTCTACATTCTTAGAGTTTTTGGCCATAGGTGTGAAATGTGAATGGTGATTGAAAAAAAGAATTCAGTGTAATTGTATTTTTAACATAGAAATAAGCTTAGTAACTTTAAAGTGAAACTGAAGACTAGCAAAATAAATGCTGGAATAGTCTGGTAATGAAACCTATGGGGAAATTAATTTTGTTTCTCATTCTTAGGTCACCTTTGCCATACCGAGGAACACAGGAACAGTATGAGGTAACAGATGCTTTAAAGCTTTGAAGTTTCGTTGCTTTATCGTTCAGTGTTGATGTGTGGTAATAATTTTTTTCATACCAAATACTTTTTTATTCCTATATTTCTTCCTTCCTAATGTATTATTTCTTTTTATGATATCTTTGAAAACTAATTAAAGATTGCCACATCTAACATTTCAGTTCTTCCCTATCTTTTTAGAAGTAGAGAAGTATGTTTTTTTCCCTTGTTTTATTCAAATATAAACTGGGAAGTAAGTTGAGGAAGATGATAATAGGGAATAAGAAGGGAGGAAGAAGAGGCTGTCAAGGAAGGAAACTTAATAGTTAGAAAAAAGAAGAAAGCAGTGATATAAGGGAGCCCAGTCCCTGTACATACTGCCTTTAAAGTCTTGTTGGTCCAAATGTGGATTTTTCCATTTTTAAGTGTTTTGATCCCTTTAAGTGCCATGTATTTTTTAGCTGTAGGAGCTGTTCATAAGAATGTATCAGCACATCTAGATTAGTAGACTCTAAGGGCTCATTGCTAAACTTATAGTCTCATCATAAGCCAGATCTTTTTCATGCTGCCATCAATAAATCACTCAGACAGTCTCAATCTTTTTGGTTGTTAATAAAGCTCCTGTAATAATTTTTGTATAAATATATGACCAATTTTGTTAAGTTGTGCCCCCTAAAATATTAATCATTACATAATGTTGCCATTTAAAATTTTCTCCTTTTTTTAGGTGTTTTTATGGACACTTATAAGAAATCTCTTTAATGAAGGAAATGATATATATCAAGAATGTGACTGGAATGGTTCATTAAGTCAGTATACAGAAGCTTTAAACATAGCTGATTATGCAAGGTCTGAAGAAATTGCAATTTCTAATGAAATATTAGAAAAGCTGCATATAAATCGTATTGCATGCTATTCAAATATGGTAAGTTGTTGAATTTTTCAAGGCGAGAAAAAAAACAGTCCTGTGGAAAGCTTATACAGTATAAAATACTTTCAGAAGTAATACAGAACTATCAAAAGTAAGCCCATTTCTCCCATTTTCCTTATTTACTTTCTTCTTAAGTAAATCATACTAGCTTTTGTAGGTAAAGAAACTTAAAAAGTTTTGGCTATCATATTGAAAGATTTTATAGTATACTTGTCTCTTAACTATTATTTCACTCTGGAAATGGTCCATATGTAAGGATTCTGAAGATATATTTGTATGGGGAGAAACATTATTAGAACATATTCCTAGCTCAGCATTGATTGTTTTATTTTGTAACAGATTGAGACTTCATTTAACTTAATGATCTGTTTGTTCAACTACATTCATGTACTTATCTTAGCACATCAACAAAAGTACCAGAAAAAAACAACAAAGAACAATTAATCTTATAAAGAATTAATCTCAAAATGTCACTATTTTGATATATAGTTTCCCTTGTGTGCTTTTTAAAATTAGCTAAATAATTGTTTAACTTGTTCTGTTACGCAGTATATAGAGTGTTAGACTTGGAATAAGAAAGACCTGAATTTGAATCTTGCCTTAGACATGTTCTACATGCGTGACCCTGGGCAAGTCATTTAACCTCTCTCTATTTCCTTATCAGTAAAATAGGATTAATAATAGCATCTCTCTAATAGGATTGTTTTGGGGATGGCATGAGACAACATATATATGTAAAGCATTTTTCAAATCTTAAAGTAATATAATTGCTAGTTTTTAACTAAACCATGAATTTTATAAAGAAATGTGGCTGCACTTATTTTTTGGTGTTAATGGATAGATGAAAGATATCTAGTATAATGGGAAAAGCACTGGATTACAATATGAGGACCAGGATTCAAATTCTAACCGCTGCATCCTGCTTCTGTGATCCTACTTCAAGTCCCTTAACCTTTCTGGGTCTTAGTTTCTTCATGTGTAAGTTGTGAGGAAGTTAGATTAGTTGGCCTTTTAAGTACCTTCCAACTTGAAATCTATGATTCTGTGTTTATTACTGAAATAAATACTTAATGATTTTCTTGGCTACATAAATAGATCAGCAAGTGAATCCATCATATTTGTTCTTTGTTTTGATATTCATTCCCTTCAAAGAATAAAAAATAACTTTGAGAAAAAAAAGCATGTGATAGATTTAGATATTTTTAAAATGTAAATATGTAGTTGACTGACTTTTTAGTACTTAGGCATTTTATAAATTTAGTGTTTCATGAATATTTTGGTATTACATAAGTTCATTGTTAAATTTAAATGCTCTTTCTTATCTTGTCACTTAGGGATTGAATGATAAAGTTCTAGAAGACTGTGATAAAGTTTTAAGTTTAAATCTTAATAACTGTAGAGCCCTGTATCGGAAAGCTAAAGCTTTAAGTGATTTAGGAAGATATAAAGAAGCTTATGATGCAATAGCAAAATGTTCTTTGGCAGTGCCTCAGGTATGGAATTTTTAAAATTTTGTTTCTATCAGAAAGATTAATTCCTCATAAAAGTGTTTGTCACATTAATACTATGTGAATAATTCAAATGTTAAAGAGTTCATCCAGTTTTAGTTTGTTACAAGTCTTAAAGCAAGCATATTGCTAGAAAATAGTTTCCAGTTACTTTTTATGTTTCTCATTATCTTGTATTGTTTCCACTCCTTTCCTTTCTTTCTCAGTTTATCTCTTGTCTTTTCAGGATGAGTGTGTAATAAAACTAACTCAAGAACTAGCGCAGAAATTAGGATTTAAAATAAGGAAAGCATATGTCAGAGCAAAGGTAAGATAGAGGATTGTACTTTTGATATCTTGGCTTTTATTTTCTAACTTTTAAGTCAATTTTGTTTTAAATGTAGTATATTTAATTTCTTTCAGTTCTCAAATTCAATTCCGGGGGATGTAGCAACTAAGGTAAAGTTAAAATTTATTCCAAAAATTAAATGATAACATTTTCTTTTAATTTGAAATAACAATTAGTATTTTTACCTGTGATATTTTTAGTGACTTTTTTTATAGCACTATATTCCACAATTTTGTTGTCCAGTTGTTTTCTTAGGACAATTTCATTAAATAATGCCCAATACCATACCTTGTACATAGAAAACACTTCAAGTAATGAATGAATACTCTTTAAAATATTAACATATTGTTTGTTTTATTTTCCAGGGTTCAAAGAGCTCTGTAGAAGATATAGAGTTAGGTAAGCTTTGAGCTATTGTACCAAACTAAAAGGAACCATACATTTTACAAGTCATATGAATTATAAAGTATTATCAAATTAAATTGATGTGTTCATCTTTATCTGTAAGTGCCACAAAACTATACACACACACACACACACACACACACACACACACACACATACATACACACGCAAAATGTCATAATCAACTCTGTGCTACTAGGAGTTAAAGAGGGTGATTGAAATCTGAGTTTTATCTTCTTTCTCTGGCCTGACCCTCCTTTCAGTGGTAGTACTAGCAGACACTTAGCTCTATGTCCAAAATAGGTTATCCACAAATGAAATAGTCAACCTTTGAATATATAAGAATCTTCTTTTTAATTGTACTTGTCCTCCTTGTCATTCCATTTATCTTCTGGCACTTGTATATTAGGATGAATGGTGTATAATATTAGGAATATTTACTAATAAATAGAAAATAAGATGAGATTTAAAAAAAACTTGGCTCTTTTACTATTACAGATTTATCAGATCTAAAGCAAGAAGCTGCTCCTGTTATTTCTCTACTTCCCCCCGACTTTGCTCCTGAATTGTCAAATGAATTGGCTCCAATTCCTATTACACCTTTAACTCCTGTTTTATCATTACAAATGGAAAAGAATCCTCTGCCTTCTACCATGTTGGCAAATGGGGGAAAGATTTCCTTTACTTTGCCTGAAACATATTTAGATGATGGAGATATTGTCCTTGGTGATGAAATAGATGAACTACTTGATTCTGCACCAGAAGCTGATGAAACTATTTTGGTAAATTTCAAAATTCTGCTTACCTTGTTTCTCTAAAGGTGGGATCAGTAACATTTTTTTGGCAATACGGATTAGCAAGAGTCTGTACATTTTATAGGTTAAGCCTTAGGTTTCTTATCTTCAAAATAACTTCTCTTTAATAATAACACTTGGATAATTTTAGCATTTTTAGACTTTTACCAAAAACATAGTACCTGTTATAGTCATGTTTTCAAGCCATGTGATATTTGATGAGGTCCTACTGGTTGAAAAACAGTATAAACTAATTGTATAGTATAACCTATATTGAGTTGCTTGCCTTTTCAATGAGGGTGGGTGGGGAGGGGAGGAAGGGAGAAAATTGGAACCAAAGTTTTAAAAACACATGTTTAAAAAAAAATGTTTTCACATGCAATTGGGAAATAATGGAAATGGGATACAGAAGTCTATCCTGCCTTACAGCAAAATAGAAGAGGAAAGGGATAAGAGAAGGGTGAGGAGAGCTAGAAGAGAGGACAGATTAGGGGAAGGGGTATTCAGAATGCATGCCATCTTGGGGTGGGGGGCGGGGCAAGATGGGGTGAAAATTTGGAACTCAAAATCTTGTGGAAGTAGATGTTGAAAACTAAAAATAAATAAATTTATATTTAAAAGAAAAACAACAAAAAAACCCAGTATGAACACCACTGAAAGCAAAATTTTATTGGTAACACCCTATCAACCTCAATCGGAAGTGCCCAAGATAGGTTTGTAAATCTTAAACTTTTCATTTAAAACTTTTACCTTTTTTCCTCCTTCCATCTTCTGACATTCCACCATTTCTAATACTAATTGTCCTTTCGTTCATACCACCTGACTCAGTGAGGGAGTTGGAATACCCTATTACCTTTTCCAGACTCTCCCTCTACTACTGTCACTTAGCACTCTTTCCTCCTTTTAGGTTCATTCTACTCAAATTTATCACCCAGTTCAGATCCTTTTAGCCCTTATCTGATGACCTGCTCACAGTCTTTTCTCTCCACAATCCCTCCCTCATATTAGGGACTTCAGCATATATTATGTTCCTTCAAATACCCTGACCTTCCAATTCTTAGTGTCCTCAGTTCTCATGACCTGCTGTCACCCACCTTAGCCACACACAGACAATTTACCTTTGATCTTGCCATCACACACAGGTATTCCACTTTCATCTTTATAAACTGAAATTCTTTTATCTGATTAAAATCTTTTGTTATTCCATCTTCCCTTTGCCTTAACAATGCCTAATCCTGTTCGTCAAAATTATTGTGATTTCTAGTCCTTTTACCCCTCATTCTTTCCCAGGCCCTTACTTCTGCACTGCCTATACTCTTCTTCCTTCTCTTTATCAACCCCATGGTGAATCACTTCAACTGTATAGCATCCTCTACTTTAGACTGACTAGGTTCACTTTAAATATGTTACGCAATCTCATCCGGGCCCTCAGTGCTGCAAGGCCATACTTTTAGACCTCTTTGATCAATTTGCTATCCTATTCATTTATGATAGCTGTTCTAAACATTCTTATCTCTCCTCAGTCTCCTCACAGCATTCCCTTTACCTGCCCTCTCAACTGAGGAACTCACCCCATACTTCACTAAAAGAGCTCCCTCTCTTTCCTCCTTCCTTATATTACATCACTCAGACATCTTTACCCCATCTCACATGAAGAGGTAGCTCTTTTCCTTGCCAATATTCTAAACCCTCTAGACAGCTGGGTGGCACAGTAGATAAAAATGCTTGGCCTGAAGTCAGAAAGATGTAAGTTCAAAAGCAGCCTCAGACACTTATTAGCTGTATGACTCTTGGCAAGTCATGTGACTCCTGTTGGCCTCAATTTCCTCAACTGTTTAATGGTAATAATAGCACTTACCTCCTAGGATTGTTGCGAGACTCAAATGCAATATTTGTAAAGCATTTTGCTGGATCTTCATTCAGGTTATGTCCACTAACTGTTTGGTTATCCCTTGAGATTCTGTCCTGGTCCCACTTCTCTCCTCCCTCTGTATCAAGGGGATGTAAGTTGGGGTCCATGAACTAGTTTTTTTATTGTAAATCAGAAATATATTTCTTTATTCAATTCAACTCAACAGTTATTAAATTATGTGCAAAGCATGGCTCTAGGCACAAATAATAGACAAAATGATTCTTGCCCTAGAGAGGCTTAGATTCTGTTGGCATTATAAAACATGTATACAAGTAAAGTCATGAACTAGTTTTTAAAAAATACTTTTGATTTCAATATGATAGATTTCCTTTATAATCCTATGTATTTTATACTTTATGCATTTAAAAATATCATTCTAAGAAGGGACCCATAGACTTTACTAGACTGCCAAAGGAATCTATGATACAAAAAAGGTTAAGAATTCCTCTTCTGTTCCTTTTTTTTTTTTTTGGTGAGGCAATTGAAGTTAAGTGACTTGCCCAGACTCACACAGCTAGTAAGTGTTATGTGTCTGAGGCCGCATTTGAACTCAGTTCTTCCTGAGTCCAGGGCTGGTGCTCTATCCACTGTACCACGTAGCTGCCCCTCTTCTATTCCTTTTTTCTTAGTGATCTCATTGACTCGTGTGGTTCAATGATCATCTCTATGCAGATGTTTCCCGTAGGTGTATATCCAGCCCTATTCTGTCTTTTGGACATTCACATGTCCTGTTGGCTTTTCAAACTTAATGTGTCCCAAACAATGCATCATTTTTCTCCGCTAAACTTTCTCTTCATCATAGCTTGCCTGTTAATTCTGAGGGTAAGAATATTCTCATCCTCAATTCCTCACTTGCATGGACCCCACATGTCCAGTCAGTTAAATCTTTTCATTTGTTCCTCCACAACATCTCTCATATTCTCCCATTCTCTCCACTGACATAACCATTACCTTTGTTCAAGTCCTTATCACTCCACTTCAAATCTTTCTCACTCCAATCCATCTTCCACTCAGCTGCCAGAGTGGTCTTCCTAAAATGCAGGTCTGATCATGTCTCCATTACCTTCTCACTCATAACCCTAGTAGATCTTTATTATCTCTAGGATCAAATATAAAATCCACTGCTTGGCATTTAAAGCCTTCTTGCTATTCCTTGACTATGACACTTTAATTTCCTGACTTCAAGTCTTTTCACTCGTTCTTCATGCCTAGAATGTCCTCCCTACTCACTCCACCCTCTTACTTTTTTCTGGCCTTTTTCAAGACTAAGCTTAGCTACCAATTTCTATAAGAAGCCTTTCTTGATCTTGACCGCTAGTGCCTTCCCTCTGAGATTATGTTCCATTTACACTGTACATATTATGTTTGTACATAGTAATTTATATATTGTCTCCCCCATAGACTGTGCGTGTTTTGAAGATAGAGACTGTATTCTTTCCTTCTTTGTATTTCCAGGGCTTGGCTCATAGCTTAAAAAATGTTTAATGAAGGACTGTGCTCATAACAAACTAACCAGGAAAGCAGCTCTTATCTCCAGAGTTCATAGTCTTATATGTATCCACATCATTTCATCTGTATTTATATATTTTTTCTAATTATATTTCAAATGAGCAAGGCCTTCTCAGTCTCTCTCATATATTAAAATTAAAATCCACATGTGTCTGGGAGGGATGCCATGGAGGCCTATTGGAAGCAAAAGGAAAAATATCAAGCAATGGGTCTCTTGAGAATGGGAGTTTTAAGGACTTTGTGTGTGTATTTGTGTCTGTGTCTGTGTGTATTATCTTTGTTTTGTCACTTTTTCCTAGGACCTTGTTATTTTCCAAACATTCTAGAAATAAATTGGGGATGGCAAACTATTTAGAATATAGTCCCAAAGTGTAGCATTGCAGGAGTAAACCTAGAATCTCAACATAAAACACAGAGTTACAACTAAATCCATCTGAATGGATATTTTCCTCAAATGCATCTTCTTTACATAGGAGTTAGATTTTAGTACTGCATGCTCTTAGTACTTCTGTGTCCTTATGGGCCTTCTTCAACTTCACAGAACTGTTCCCAGAAGACTTTTTTTCCCCTCACACGAGCACTTTGGGGATATATAAAAAATCCTACGTAAATGTTGTTGTTATTACAGACAAAAATGAATTTAACTTTTGGATAAAGTAACATTTGCATTCCATTAGGTATTCCGATAAATCTTTTTTTATCTTACCTGTAAGTTAGTGATACTTTAAATCTGGATTTCAAAAGAAACCTCAAACTGGATCGTCTGATCTCTAGTTGTTATTCTTTGATTTAAGCTTTGAAGCATGTATCCTTAATCTAATGACTTTGCTAAATGTTATGCCTTTTATATTCAAAATTATATGCTATGAAGTATATATAAGTATGTAAATGTAATAACACCAATAGTTCCCTTTAAATATTCTTCGGATCTCCTTGGATAAAGTATTTCAGACTATTCTTCTGGAGAAGATAGAGATAAATGAATTAGACAGTCATATAATTAGATGTATTCAGAAATGCTCCCATGGCAGGACTCAAAGAATAGTCGTTAATGGTTAGGTGTCATTGTGACAGTGGTTCTCCATTGGACTACCCTAAGGATCTGTGCTTGGCCTTGTTCTGTTTTGTATTTTTTATTAATTACTTGGATTGCAGGTGACAGAAAGTTGGATGAGATAGCAAACACATTGGATAATAAGATTCGGAATCCAAAAATATCTTGACATCAGATGAAATCTAATAAGATAAAATTAAATTATTGATAAGTGTAGAATCTTGCAGTTGGGTAGAGAAGAATAATTTCACACGTACAAGATGGGGGAAGGCATAGCTAGATAGCAGTTAAATATCTGGGGTTTTAGTGACCTGCATGCTCTATGGGTCAGCAGTATTTTGTGGCAGCCAAAAAAGTAAATGTAGTCTTATGCTGCATTCAGAAACTCCTAGGTTTCAAGAATAGGAAGATAATATTATCGTTGTATTCTATCCTTATTAGGCCTCATCTGGGGTATTGTGTTCAGTTTTGGGTTCAACAGTATAAGAAACAGCATTGATTAACTATATATATGTGTATAGTTTAGCATTAGAGGATTGTTATATGTCTTTCTCATTCTTTTTTTTTTTTGCTTCACATTATTTCACATGTATTCCAAAATTTCTACATATTTCTCATTTGTCATGCTTAATAGAAATATAGAACTCTATTATATCCATATACCACAGTCTAGTCATTTCCTTTCCATTGTCTAGGAAATAAACAGGCTATAGATTAGCAGCTTTTCTGTTTAGATAAAGCAGCTTTAGATAGACTTTTCTTTGTAATTATATCCCTGGTATATGTTTCTAATAGTGAGATTAGTAGGACAAATATGGATCAGTTTGGTAACTCTTGTTCTGTTACCAGGTTGATGCAAGTCAGTGCAGTCTTTTTGTAAAACAATGTATAGTATCTACTTTTTTTCTTATAGCCTCATCACCATTGTGTTTTGTCATTTTTATTTGTTTTTATCAATTTTATTGGTGTTAAGTATTATTTCATTGTAATTTAAATTTGCATTTCTTTGTTTTTGTGAGGATGAACGCTTTCATCATATGTTGTATATCGCATTTCAAACAGTTAAGTCTTAAATATTTTTCTTTGTGGATACTTTGTAAAAATATTTTTTTTTGTTTTCTCCTTTAGACAGCCACAGTAGTCAGAGGATCCATTCCAACATCTAGTGTAACTCCTAGTATACCCTTTTCTGCACCTTTATTAGGAACGTGTGCAGGGTATGTTCCTGCATCTTCCTTTTCAGAAATGTATCCACAGCCTTTGACTTCATCATTGGAAGATTTTTGTTCTTCTTTAAATACATTTTCAATGAGTGACTCCAAAAGAGGTAAACATTTGAGTCACATTTGAAATATTTCAAGTTTATTCAAAATAATGAAATTGTTGTTTGGTAGCTTTTTAAAAAAAGTTTTCCTTCTGGTTAATAGATACTAGGAAGACTTTGTTATTCAATTTTAAAGTATAGAGACTTAGATTTAAATTTTAAAGTTACTTTTGCTTGAAATGCTAATTTCTACTGTAATTAGCTAAATTATTATATATTTTTGTCATTTCTGCCTCCTTTCCCCAGAACAGTTGATTCTGAAAAGTGAATATAATATAGAGGTGGTTTAATGATTTATGTATACTTATTTAAATTAATTCAAAAATTACTTTAATTTTTAATTTCATTTAAAGAAAAAGGGTGAGACAAACTCTAGAAAAATCAGAATAAGGGAAATGAAAGATTTTTCATTTGTTTTAGAGAGGAAAATTTAAAAGTTTTTGTATTATGTTTAGAAAAACAGTGAACTTTTAGATTTTTCTCTTCAAGCTAAAACCTCTATAGTGAGTTACATAAGTATTATATGTATTATAGGCAATTTTATAAGTTGCTAAATTATATGTCAGTCACTAGTAGAGAGAAAAATTTATTAAATGAAAGCAATATATTTTAGACTTCATTTGTGGTTAGCCAGGAAGTCAACCATGGAATTAGCTGCTGTGATGGCTGCTTATATTTTCGGGGGCCCACTCAGTTTTTGTCCTAACTGGAATTGTATGAATAGCAAGGTAGAGTTGGAAGGAATCTTAAGGATCATCTCATTCAGCCCCCTCATTTTATAGGAGAAGAAACCAAGTACTTGCCTAGGGTAGTATAAAAAGAGTTGGGGGCAGGTAGGTGGCGCAGTGGATAGAGCACCAGCCCTGGAGTAAGGAGGATCTGAGTTCAAATCTGGCCTCAGACACATAACATGCACTAGCTGTATGACCCTGGGCAAGTCACTTAACCCCAGCTGCCTAAAAGCAAAAAAAAAAAAATAAAAAAAAAATAGAAAGACCTGAGTTATAATATTTTTATATACATAAATACATCGCAAAATTAAACTGACCAGGTGACAGATCTTGGAGAAGGGGAGAAAGGAAACAGGGCTTCATCATTAATGAGAGAAAGAAAAGGAAAGCAACCATGAACTTTGTGCATTGTTTATTGCAAAATACGCTTTCATGCTTAATGGTTTTTAGAGAAGCACTCTTGTATTTTCCACCTTTGCCATTTTGGGGTTGTAGTTCTTGATGGCATATCAGGTACATCCTGTAGTTTTTGAAAGTATATCAGTTACATCTGGAAATTGCTACTCATTCATGAACTATTGAATGCATGATTTTTACATGATTGGGTTCCAGAGGAAAGGTTATATTCATTAAAATAGGAAGATTTAATTACTTAGAAATCTGTAAAATTCAGTATGCCTTGGAATTAAGATACAAAAAGGCAGACATGAAAAGAGATATCTGTACTGAATTACTAAATTACTGTGTTCTTATTGCATGATAGGAATAAAAAGTCTATTGAAGCTTTTTTATTATTATTTTTAGATCTGCCCACATCAACTTCTAGAGAGGGAGCACTACTCAACAACAGTAATTCTTCCATTTTACTTGTAAGTACATGTGTTTATTGTATAAGAAAAGAAGGAGCTTAAGTAGTTGAATAAGTTGTTAAACACACTTTGTTTATGGTGTGTACAACAATGTGAAAATCATGTTCTTTGGGGGATTTTGGTAGTAAATCCCTTAAATGTAGGATAGTCCTATCATATTGAATTATGTATTTTACTGAGCAGAATTGTTTAAGCATAAACTTTAAAGTATATAAAAATTTTGTTATTGGCAGAAAATTCACTTTTTTTATTTTTCAAAGAGGATGAAAAAGTTAAATGAAGTAATTATTCTTTAAAAAAAAAAAGAAACAAAAAATAGGCCCCTAGAAATGGGAGTTTGAAGTCTGATTTTAAAAGTTTAAGGGGCTGAGTAGTAGTCAGCATGAAGTATTAACAAGTACAATATTTATAGAGAATTTAGTTTATTTTAGTGGTTTTTTTTTACAGTGATGTTGAAATAATAAGCCGGTAATAGTATATCCTTAAATCCCTTATTTCTCTCACAGATGAATGGACCAGCTAGTTTGTTTGCTTCTGAGAGTTTCCTAGGAATTTCAAGTCAACCTAGAAATGATTTTGGAAATGTTTTTAGTAGTGGGTCTCCTAAAGTATCTTCATCTGTAGCTGGAAGAAATCCACTTGAAGGATCTCATGAATTGCGGCAAGCATGTCAACTCTGTTTTATAAAATCGGGTAAGAATCAGACTATGGAAGAAATTGTATTACCTTAGATAAATTAAAATTTGCTATTGAAAACTGAGTTGATTTGATTAATATGTAGCAAAAAGTACTGAAACTGCTCTCTCCAAAGTTACCAATGACTCTTTAATTACCAAATTTAATGTCTTTTTCTCATTCCTCATTCTTCTTGACCTCCTTGCAGCCTTTGACACTATTGATCACCCTGTTTTCCTTGATACTTTTGTCTCTATATTTTTTGGACACCATTCTCTCCTGGTTCTCCTCCTCACCTACCAGATTGCTTCTTCTCAGTTTCCTTTGCTTGATTCTCATGCAAGTCAGAATCTCTAGCACTTGGTGCCCCACCTGGTTCTGTCATGGAATATAGAGGAAAAAGAGTCCTCTATATTATTTCACTTGGTAATTTCATCAAGTCCCATGAATTTAATTACCATCTCTGTGTGGATGATTCTTAAATCTACCTTTCCTGCCCCAGTCTCTCTACTCACCTCCAGTCTAGAATCTCCAACCTGCTTTTCAGACATCTCAAGCTGCATATTTAGTATACATTTTAAACTTAGCGTGTCTAAAACAGAGTTTATTATCTTTCCCTCTAAATCTTTTTTCCTTCCTAACTTACCTATTACTGTTGAGGGCAACATCATCCTTCAAATCCCTCAGGCTGGCAACCTAGGTGTCATCATTGATGCCTCACTATCCCCATTTCCAGTCTTCTGCCAAGGCTTCTTTGCAACATCTCTCAACTGTGCCCTCCCTCTGTCCTCTGATACTGCTATGACTCTTCTACATGTGCTCATCAACTAATGCCTGGACTATTGCAGTAGCCTACTGGTGGATCTGCCTGTCTCAAGTCTCTCTACCCATTCTAGTCCATCCTCCATTCAGCCACCAAAGTGATTTTTCTAAAGCACAGATCCAACCATGTCACACTCCCCCTACTCAGTAAACTCTAGTGGCTCCTCTTAACAAATACAAAATCCTCTGTTTGGCATTCGAAACGTAGGCCCCACATACTTCACACACTCTTAGATTCAGTGATACTGCCCTCCTTGCTGTTCCATGAGTAAGACATTCCATCTTTTGGCTCTGAGCATTTTCTCTGGCTGTCCCCCATGCCTAGAATTCTGTCCTTCCTCAACTCTGCCTCTTAGCTTCCCCAGCTTCTTTCAAGTCCCAACTAAAATCCCATCTTCTACAGGAAGCCTTTCCCAACACTTCTTAATTCTAATGCTAGAATTCTTAATTCTCTTTTAATTATTTTCCTACTTTTCCTCAATATAGCTTGTTTGTACATATTTGTTTACTTGTTTCCCCAGGTGTTAAACTTCTTAAGGGCAGGGACTGTCTTTTGCCTCTTTGTATCTTGACCTTTTAGTTAATAAATGTTAATTGATTATATGTTTATTGATTGACTGTAGTATAATTTGGAATAACCAGTAATCCTCACATACCATATGCTGGTTGTGTTCTTTCCAATCAGTTCTAGGTAATCATTAGGCTTTTTGACTGAAACAACAATTATTTACTTTCATCTTTTAGATCTTCTTTACTTTGATTTTTTTTACCAGTTTACTCGTTTTGAGGTGCTAGTCATGAAAGTTACTGTTTTTATTTGATAAAATATATGTGTATTTTAAAGAATTTAGTTTATTTAGACATTGTGAAAATATTTCCTATTTTGAAATTCTTTTTATTCTGGATCTGTCAGTGATGCAGCATTTATTAAGTGCATCATGTCAGTCATGATATGGGTTTTAGGGAGGAAAGGACAAAAGTGAAACAGTCTTTATTCTTGAAGAGCATATTTTCTCTCAGGAGAAGTGTGTATATATACATAAGTATATTCATAATATTTACAAATAAAAATCAGGTGATTTGCAGAGAGTAATAGCAGTTCTGGGGCCTGTGATCCTAAGAATTGGAAGTGAGGAAGGGATGCATTCTAGGTACGGGAGAAAGGCTGTACAAAGGTATGGAAATAGGGGGTGTATTGTTTGTAGCAAGAATTCCATCTAGCTTTACCACAAAGTTCAGGAAGGGTAGTAATGGCAACAGCAAGGCTTAAAAGGTAGATTGAGGTAAGATTGTGAAGGTCTTTAACTAGCAAACAGAGAACTTTATATTTGATACTAAAGGCAATAGGGAGCCATTGGCATTGGTTTACTATCAGAGTTATGTGGTTAGACTTTAAGAACTTTAAGAAATTCACTTTGGTAGCTCTGTGGAGGATGGATTGGAGTGGAAGAGACTTGAGGAAGAGAGACTGTTTATGAAGCTATTGCAGTAGTCTAGGTGAGAAGTGATGAGGTTCTGAACTTGGGTGGTGTCTTTGTGTGTAGAGAAAAGGGGACAAGAGATATTGAGTAGGTAGAAACAAAAATATTTGAAAGCTGATTGTACATATAGGCTGAGAAATTGAAGATAATGTCAGGATTGTGAGTTTGGGTGACTAGAAAGATGGTAGAAGATAGAAAAAATGAAATTTAGAAGATGGGTACAGTTTGGGGAAAAGATTTGAGTTGTTTTGGTCACATTAGTTTTAGATGCTTATTAGAACATCTATAGTGTCCAACAGGTAGTTGGAGATGTGCAACTGAAGCTCAGGAGAGATACTTGGAGTGGAGGGTGTGTGTGTGTGTGTGTGTGTGTGTGTGTGTGTGTGTGTGTGTGTAAAAATCTTGGAGTCATCTACATAGAGGTAATTAGTTTCATGGTAGCTGATCAGAACGCCAAGTGAAAGGGTATAGAGGAAAAGAAAAGAAAAGAAGGCTCAGGACAGACACATATAAGTGTATACCAAATATGTACAAAATAAAAACAAGGTAATTGTGGGCGGCACTAGCAGCTAGAGGTGTGTGATAAGGGCAAGTTTTATGTAGAAGGCAGCACTAGAGTTGGAACTTAAAGGAGGCTAGGGATTCTAAGAGTTGGAGGTGAGGAAGGAGTGCATTTCAGGAATGATGAGAAGCCTGCTGTACAAAAAGATATGCCCACAGTGGGGTGTAATATGGATGATGATCTAGTAAAGGGGGTGTCATAAGAGTGGTTAGGTGAGAGGAGAACCAAGAGAAGCAGTCATGAACATTCAGAGAAGAGAGTATCCAGGAGGAGAAGATGGTCAGCAGGGCTGAATGCTGCAGATAGGTTGAGATAGATGAAGACTGAAAAAAGGGTGTCAGATTGGGCATGTATAAAAATAAAATGATGTCACCTGTTATTTTAAAATAAAAAAAATAACCTAAAAAGCATATAGGAACTAAAGGGCAATCCTGAATATATGACTGGTCTCTTGTCATAACTGTATTACATATTGCTTTGGATTTTTTTCCCCTACTTTTTTCTGGAATATGGTAGTATAGTTACTGACTTTCCTGGTTTGGAAGTTTTTATCACCAAGAAAAATATTGGTAGATGACAGATATTTCATTTTATTTGTCCATTATTGTATTAATCAGGTATATGAATTACTTGTTAATTTTTCATTTCATAGGATCATATATTTAGAGCTAGAAGGGACCTGAAAGGCCATCTACATCTAGTCCAGCCTCCTTCATTTTACAGATGAGGAAACTGAGGCCCAGAAGAGGTTAAGTGACTTGCTGAAGTTCATATAGTAAGTGGTAGTGCAGGATTTATGGCTGGATCATGAAGTGATGATCAGCAAATTTACCTTGCTTAAAGAAGTGAATTTGAAGGGATGTAAGCATAATTTTAAAAATATATTTCATCTGATAATGACCGATAACCCAGGCTACTTGAAAGAATTATTTGACCAAAATTGTGTATCAGACATTGTACAAAATAAGACCCATATGTCCATAATCAAATTAAGACTTGTGTGCCCATTTTCAAATTTAATTTTTTTTTATCATTTAACAAAAACCTATTTTTCTCCCTCCTACCTCTTTCATTCCACTCAACTCCCTCCGTAAAAAAATCCTTTGTAACAAATATGCAGTCTAGTAAAACAAATTCCTACCATATCCCAAAAATATGTCTCACTCTCTATCATAATTCTTTGAAAACTCAAGAAGTGGGTAGTATATTTCATCTTGTTTCCTCTGGAATTGTTGTTGGTAACAATGTGCCCATTTTCATATATTAGATCTCGTAAGGTTTAAACTCAGTCTCTGAAGTAAGCAAATGTGAAAAACACTTGTGTACTTTGGTGATAGTTAAATGAGAGTTTTAACGATAGGTTGATCATGTCATGTGATTCACATATTTGGCAAGTTCTGGGAAAATATCAATAAAGTTTGGTTGAATTTGATTTGAATTCAGAATACTTCATTTAAAGAAGTTACACTGGTATGTCCATGTATTTTTTACCTTAGTCTAGGTAGTAGATCTTTTTTGTAGGAATATTTTCTTACAGTTTACATTTTAGTTATATTTTAATAGCTTACTTCTCATACAATGCTTTGTATATTGTGTTTAGGAATAATTTTAAAGTATAAGAATGTTGATGAATTGTTTACTTTATCTGTATGAATTTGAATTCTTTTGATCCAGTTCAGCAAACATTGATTAACTGTTGCTTGTGTACAGTTCACTGTGCTGGGCCCTGGGCAGAAACACAAAGGTTAGATAAATTGGAGTCCCTGCACTCAAGAATCTTAACCATCCACCAGGTGCTTGTGACACTATTTTGTATGGTATTTATTCTACTGTATGTTTATTAATGGGTAAGCAGCATTATGTGGATTCTAATGTGAATAATGATCATTACCAACTGGAGAAATCAGAAAATCCATCCTGGCAGAGCTGGCATTTGGGTTGGGCTTTAAAAGAGTAGGGTTAGAAGTAAAAGATGGGGCAGCTAGGTGACTCAGTGGATAGAGCACCGGCCTTGGAATCAGGAGGACCTGAGTTCAAATGTGACTTCAGACACATAACACTTACTAGCTGTGTGACCCTGGGCAAGTCACTTAACCTCATTGCCTAGCAAAAAAAAAAAGAAGTAAAAGAGAGGGGTTCTTAACTTGGAGTCTGTGAATTTGTCCAAAAAAATTGGTAATTGTATTTCAGTATAATTGGTTTCCTTTGTAATCCTATGTGTTTTATTTTATGCATTTAAAAATATTACTCTGTGAAGCAGTTCCTAGGATTTACTAGACTGGTAATGGAGCCTATGACCCAAAATGTTAAGAACTCCTGCATTAGGCTGAGAGTGGGAGATTAAAAGAAGAACAGAGTCAGGAAAATGCAGGCTGTTTTGGGATGGATATTAAGTGTTTCAGTTTGCCTAGACCATGGAAAGGAAATAATACTAGAGAAGTATAAAAATTCAAGATGCTATCAGATCATGAGAAAATTTTGGATGCCAGGCCAAGAAACTTACACTTACTTGGCAGGCAAGAAAGAAGGCATTGTAGAGATTTGAGCTGAGGAGTTATATAACCAGATCAATACAAAAAGTATATAAGGAGAAAAATCCTTAGGATGGGCTAAATAAGCCTGTTTGTGAAAGAGAAGCATAAACAGTGGGTAGAGAAGTGGGAAACTCCTGATAGAGAATATTTCATACACAGCCTAACTCAGCTCATTGGTTTTTCATAACGGTTTTTCTTCATTCAGAGGGATAGTTCACTGATTTTGGGGGGATGGGATGAATATCTGGAAACAAAAGATGTTATTTAGCCTCAGTTTTTTGGAAGAGTAAACGCCAGAGTGGCAGCACCTCCCAGATCAGGGATCCTGCTTCCTACCCCACCCTCCCTACCATGATCTACGTGTCACCTGTACTTAGCATATACTAAGCATTTAATAAATGCCTTTTTCATTCATTCAGTAAGGGATCCCAGGTGTTGATGATGGGGCTAATTTATTTTTAGCCTTAGTATGTATCCTGTGAAAGAGAACATACAAAGTGAAATATGCCTCCCCAAGCTCCCAGAGGGAAAAGTGAGTTGAAGCTTGGTTGGGGATGAATTAGAAGGAGCCATGTGGTACCAAAATTGAGTGGGTAGAAAACTGACAAGTACACAACAATATATTTAGGAAACAGAATTCCAATTAAGGGTAGAGGATGATTCCAAGCAATCAGGGGAACATATTTAGGAAGTTTAATGAATGCTTTCTCATGTCATTGGTCTAAGGCTTTATTTTGTCAAAAAGTACAAGAAAATACTTAGCTATCTCCAAAAAAATATTGAAAATAAAACAAAAAAATATAAGCTATCTTTGTTTAAAAGATGCTGTGGGAAATTCAGAGTTTTGTATCTTAAGAAAAGCAATGTAATTGGAGAAAATTAAAAGGATGGTGTAAATAATCAGTGAGATGGTGGTGCTGTTCTATGAGGGCAGACTTGGATTCTTGGATGAGAGATTGATCTTGAGCTTTGTGCTCTTCATGTTTAAATTGTTGAGTATTGTAAAACAAGAACATTTTAATTAGTTCTTTCCTTACGTGGAAGGTAGAATGATGTTGAAAGGTGTCTTGTGTAATCTGACATATATTACAGTTACACTTTAGTTTGAGAGTTGTTTTTTAAAATTTCCAGTTAGGAGTATTAAAGATAATTTGGGTATTTTCAGTGGGAATTTAACAGTTAATATGAATTCTATTTTTATGTCAGTTTGTGATTGTAACTGGCTTAAACCATTTAAAATCTTATATTTCTCTTTGTTTCTTTAGGTCCTAAATTAATGGATTATACCTACCTTCCTACTTTAGATCATAAATGTAAGAAAGACATTTTAATTGGGAGAATAAAGAATGTTGAAGATAAATCATGGAAAAAAATACGTCCACGACCAACAAAGACAAATTATGAAGGGCCTTATTATATATGTAAAGGTATTTTATTATGTTATTGTTATTATTATTATTATTATTCATTGGGTTGAAAAAAATAAGTGTTCAGTTACTGATGAAAAATATATTTCAGATTAAGCAACCTGGATATTTTGGTTATACTCTTAATCAGCAAAAAGAAATAAAAACATTTCTGTGGAAGTGCAGTGGATAGAGCACCAGGCTTGGAATCAGGAAGGCCTGAGTTCAAATTTGGCCTCATCTACTCACTAGCTAAATGATCCTGGGCAAGTCACTTAATCTGTCTGCCTCAGTATTCTCATCTGTAAGCTGGGAATAATAATAGCATTTACCCCCCAGGGTTGTTGTAGGAATCAAATGAGATAATAATTGTAAAGGGCTTTTTTAAACTTCCAGCATTATGTAAGTGCTAGAGATTATTATTATTACTACTACTACTAATTATTATTATTATTATTATTATTATTATACTATCCATCCTTTGGTGGCAGAAAATCACCTTTGTCGCTATTTTAAAGTTAGTAACTAGAAGCAAGTTATTTGGAGTGGGTTTTTAATATTTTTTTTACTGTATTTGCCTGGTGTTTAGGTTCTCTTATATGTGTTTTATAGTCCATACCTGTTAACTGAGTCCTAATCTAGTTCAAGAATTATCTTGGAGGAACTGAGTGTGGTAGCGCATGGCTGTAATTCCAGTTGTTGATGAGGCTAGTGCTAGTGAACTAGTGATGCTCAGGAGTTCTGAATTTCAGTGAACTAAGCCAATCGGCTTTCCTCAGTAAGTTGAGCATAGTAAGCTCCCAGGAGGGGGAGAGCTACCAAATTGTCTTAGGAGGGGAGTACCAGCCTGGGCTAGACAAAGAGCAATTCAAAGCTCCCATACTGATTGTCATGGGACTGAGCCTAGGAGTAAAGCCCTTGCATTTCCATCTGGTATGAGATAGGGAGACCCAACCCTTAAACAATCAATCAGTCAATCAATCAATAAAACCATCTCAGTCCTATTGCCTCTGACTGGAGCTAAGCTGAATAACATCGGTGAAATGCTTGAGGTGTTGGTGAAACAGTAGCTTTGAGACCTTTGTTGTCCAGTGTTTAGAGATAAACACTCCTTTTAGAGTGTTTATTTCTTGTCAGCACTCTTTTGAAATGTATTGTCCCTTCACATCAAATTACCCTGAATAGTTCTTTGAATTTGCATAGGGCCAGCAACATTTAGTGGATAGAAGCTTTCTTGAAACCATGACATAAACGTGTAAAATTGTCTTCAAAATATTTGAAAAGTAAAAACTTGATTCTATTATGGATAGCATTTCTTTAAGCTTGTTTATGTCATGCTTATGAAATGTCAGATGTATGTGTATGTAGGTTCAAACTGTATCTGGACTATTCTACAAAGTAAAAAGGATGATGGTGTTGTATTGGAGGTTTGTCCTAAATTATGTTAAATATTATAAATTTTTTTTAAACTGTCAAAATGCCTTAAACTCTTACAATTTAATTTTTTTAATCATAGATGTTGCTGCTGAGGAAGAGTGTAGATATCCAGGTCACTGTACTTTTGCCTATTGCCAAGAAGAGATTGATGTGTGGACATTGGAACGAAAAGGTGCATTTAGTCGAGAGGCTCTTTTTGGTGGCAGTGGAAAGATAAACTTCACAGTGTTCAAACTTCTTCAAGAACATCATGGAGAATTTATATTCCTTTGTGAGGTACATTTTCCAAGTTTTTCTTCTGCTACAAAATTTTGATGAGGCTTTTTGGCAGTTATCAGTTTAAATGTACATTTTCTTTGAAAGCTTTTATAAAATTGAATCTTTTAAAAAAACTTATTTTGAATAGAAAAATTAGTGAATGTCTGCAGTGGGTCCTTGGAAATACTGTGATGATAAAATCAAAATTCTAGTTAGGGAATTTTTATTTTAGATTTTGTCTTTATGATAAACCCTACTTCTTGTCTGTTCCAGAAATGTTTTGATCATAAGCCCCGAATAATAAGCAGGAGAAATAAAGATATTTCTTCTTCTTGTTCTCACCCAGTTACAAAGCATGAATTTGAAGACAACAAGTATGTTGGCATTTTTTCTTCTCATTTCTGTCATGAAAAAGTAGAAAGTACATAAAGTTTCTTTCTCAATACCAAATAGAATCAGTGGTATTGTCATGCTATTTTGTTCTTTTTTGGTATTATTTTAAAGAGTAGTCCATAGAAAGGAATTTTTAAGTGGCCTTTTCAGGTGAAGAAAAAATTAAATTGATATTTCACTAATGTGAAAGAATCTTGTCATAAGTGCATGAATTGGGATATACCATAGATTAGATCGTATTCTTTGACCTAACTATTATATATAATAAAAGCATTATATGACATAGATTGCTTAATATTAAGGGGTTCCATCAGACAGTTATTTTTAAGTTTACTTTTTGTTTTTATGACTTAAAATACATTCTCAATAGAGACCTTTGATGTTGCTTATGATTTATTTTTTGAAATGTACATACTTTTGCAGAAAATTGAAATATTGCCTCCCTTTTCGCATTAGGTGCCTCGTTCACATTTTACGAGAAACTTCAGTCAAGTATTCTAAAATCCGTGCTTTCCATAATCAGTGTCAACTTGATCTGTGTCGGCATGAAGTTCGCTATGGTTGCTTAAGGGAAGATGAGTGTTACTATGCTCATAGCCTTATAGAATTAAAAGTCTGGATAATACAAAAGGAAACAGGTGTGTGAGAACTGAAAGTACATTTCACCAGAAACTGTAAGGCCACCTTATAAAGCGTTATATGAACATCTGTAAAATTGTAGGTTAGAATTTAAGAACTGTAGAAGCTGTCATTTTGGTAAGGTACACCATTGAGTTACTTTTTAAGAAAATGCCTGCATTGAGTCTAATTTAAAGTTGTTGCTACAAATGAGTTTGGTATGAATTTTTTAGGAGGAAAGGTTTCTTAGGAATTCAGAATGATTGTTTGCTGAATTTTTTCCCCCCAAATACAGTACTACCTTGTTCGTTAAACAGTAGATGAGGAAGTGAATATAAATGAGCATATATATATGAATATATATAAACGTTGGTTGACGTTTTTGAGTTTCTACTAAATAAGTGGAAGTTATTATGGAAATAATTAAAATAAAGGCTTTTGTACTTCCTAGGTATAACACATGATGCCATTGCTCAAGAATCTAAGCAGTATTGGCAAAACATGGAAGCAAAAGCACATGGAGCACAGGTATTTCCATTTGAATGCTCTGCATTTGACATCCCATTTGGGACTAATATGAGAGAAATCACTTGTTAAATTGGTTTCAATATAGTTTAGATGGTAGAGTGGAAAGAACATTATGGGCTCTGGAGTTGGAGGACCTGGGTTCATTTGCCTCTTCTGATGCTTACTACCTGTGTGATCTTGGGCAATGAATGAATGAATGAAAAATCATTTCTCAGCACTTACTATGTGCTATAATAAGCACTGGAGATACAAATACATGTAAGAAAGGCAGTCACTTGGGGAAGAACATTTACAGGAGAGCTAGAGTTGTAAAGTGGGCAACAAATTGGACTTTTGTGTTAGAAGGAGGACTGCAGGCAGTAAACACTTAACCTCTCTGGCCCACGGTTTCTTCATTTGTAAAATGATGTAGTTGGACAATTTGGCTCTGAGTACTAGCTCTAGAGTTCTTGCTCTGGAGCTATGATGACATCATCCTACATGTGGTAACTAACATTCTGTTTAATTAAAGTCAAGTCAAAAAATTCATGTGAAAAAGGATGTTTTAGTTCGTTACCACCCAGAGTATTTCTAGAGCATCTGCTTCTGTTTGTTGCATTGGTAGTTACTGCATTAGCTGTATTTCCTTATAAATGGCAGTGCATCTTCTATTTCTCAGAGATGTGGGTACTTTGTGGTTACTTATAAATAAATACATTTTACTTTGTAAGAGAGGCAGCTAGGTGGCACAGTGGATAGACTGCTGGATCTGGAGTCAGAAAGACCTAGTTAAAATTCAGTCTCTGATACTTAGTAGCTGTATGGCCTTGGGCAAGTCAAATAACCTCTGTCTCAATTTCTTCAATTGTAAAGGGTATATAATAGCACTTACCTCTCAGAGTTGTTATGAAGATCAAATGAAATAATATTTATAAAGTGTTCAGCACAATGTCTGGCACATAGTACTGGTGCTATATAAACACTAGCCATTTTCATTGTTGTTATTACTGTTATTATTATAATACAGAGGATTGCCCTATCTAAATGTTTTCTTTATTTTAGGGTGAGTTATAGATGTTATTAAAAACAGACATATTATTTAGTTTGTGTGTATAGTGGTATCTTTTTGATTTGGAGAAAAATTCTTCTAATTTTCCTGTAATTTTTTTTTTTCTAAATTTTTTTTTCTTATTTAAGGTACCTGGAAATCAAATAAAATATGGATCTCTTAATTTAAAGATAAAGTTTGTATGTGCCCAGTGTTTGAGAAACGGTCAAGTCATCGAACCAGATAAAAACAGAAAATACTGTAGTGCTAAAGCAGGGCATTCGTAAGTAACATGTACAAAACAAATGTTAGTTTTATTATTATCTACTTTATAGGTTGGAAGATATGTTGTTGAGAAATTATGAGAGCTACAACATAGAAAGAAAAGTTAAAGCATGAAAAGAGGGCAAGGGGAAAGCAAATAATTTAGGAAGTCAGAAGTGAAGAATTAATTTTTAGGATTGTCACTTTAAAATTCTTAAATTTGATTTTTTGTGACTAAATTTTGATTTTTCCTTTAATTTTAAATGCTCAACAGCAAAAGTTTTCATGGAAATATCAGTATAAAGTGAGGTATTATTTCTAACATTGTGAAATGTCACTTATTATAGGGTTAAGCAAAATAAATAAATAAAATCTCTGATGGCCCTTGAGGTACAAACTTTGTATCTATTCCTATATGTTGTACCTATTGCCAGTGTGTCTTTGCTTTTCTGAACTCCATTTTTCTTAGGTGGACCAAAGATCGTCGAGCGATGAGAGTGATGTCTAATGAACGTAAGAAGTGGATGAACATCCGTCCTCTTCCCACAAAGAAACAAATGCCTTTACAGTTTGATGTACATACGTAATTTTTAAGCCACTTTTTTTTTTATTAGGCACCTCAAATAATTGCAAAATGACATTAATTTGAGGGAAACTCAAACCTTTTAAATAGTAATCTTTATTAGTGAACTTACAGTGAAATTAAAAACTAACATTATTTGTTGTTATTCCTTTTTAATATTTATAATATTCAAAAATGTCTTTAAATAATGTCTTAAATATTATTTAATTAGTTTACTTAATTTATTAAGTAGTCAAATACTTTGACAGTGTATTTGGTAACAGTCAAGACATTGACTGAAAAATTAGCTTGGTTAGTGAGCTACAAAGAACTTGTAGGAGAAGATGCATATAAGAACATTTTGTTTACTTTATAGAGAGGCAGCATAGCCTTGTATGTGCAGGGCTGGCCTTGGAGTCAGGTAGACTTCGTTCAAGTTCTGTCTTTGTCACACACTGTCTGTGTGACCATGAGCAAGTCACTTAACCTCTCAGCTCCCCAGGCAACTGATATTACAGATTCAGACCTATCCCCTTCTTTCCTCACCCCACCCCCCATTAAAAAAATTCCAGTTAGTAAAAAAAAATTTTTTTTGAGAGGGATAACTCAGAGGCAACATAGTATAGAGGCTAGAGAGCTGGGCTTGAGAGTCAAAATGTCTACTTTGTGTCCCAGTTGGCTATTTATGACTGAAGAAGCTACCAATCTTCAGCACAGAGAATTTCTTCACTGTAACAATGAAATTGAAGATCTGGTTCCCTTCCCTTGCCCCCTGGCCTCTACCAAAGAAAGATAGACAGAAAGAGATATCAGAGTCTTAGAGGTAAGGTTACCAGAAAGCCTTCCCATATTAACTATGGTTAACTTTAAAGGAATTGCTTATATATTCTGAATCATGTCTCTCACCTGGAGGCAGTGGATACTTGCTTAGAGATACCTCACAGTAGGACTTTGAAATTTTATCCCTTTGGTTTTGTGGGGTTTTTATTAATATCAGAAACATAGTAATCTAAAACTATTATAATAAAAAAAACCAGATTGACCTAACCAGAGCTGGGTTAATATTTCATTCAGATTATTGCTAATGTCCCTTTCAACCTAAAAACAACTTTTAAGCTCTTATTCTTTGTGGTTTTAATTCACCAATGCTATATCTTTTAGACAAGAGCTCTTTGTCTTTAAGATAGTCAAAAGGTTTTTTTGGCAATATATATTTTCAGAATCAGATTTCAAGCATTGTTGATGAGTAAATTACTGACACCATACAACTTTGGCTATTTGAGTTGTATGTTTTTTAATCTAACAAGATTAGGCATGATCCAGTTTTGTCACAATCTGTGTAGTCTGGAAAAGAATTTCTAGTAATAAGAGAGGAGTAATGTCTGTGAGAAGGGAGTATGAGAAAATACATTGTGGAGTAAGCTGATATCTCTAGAATTGTAGTTTCATAGCTTACATTTGAAAGGGAACTTTGAAATCATCTAGTCCAACACCTTCATTTTATAAATGAGGAACCTGAGGCAAACTGAACCTCGGAAAAGATAGGGGACTTGCCTAATATCAGGCAGATTTTAAGTGGTGCACCTGCACTTGGTATTTGAACCCAGGTCTTCTGACTTCAAGTGTAATGCCTTTTTTATGGCACCATGCTGTATACAATTCTTAGTATACTGGGACAATAGCAAGAGCCTTTCACACAGTACAGATGAATCAGAGATGCTGTTAGCAAATTAAGTTGTAGTCTTTGTTTAAGTAGGCAATAGATATTGAAAAAATATAGACTGACTTTTCATTGTTTTTTAGAACTTGGCAGTTCTGTAAAATTTATACTTTGCAAATTATGATATAAATCAGTTTAGATTTTTATAGAGTTTTTTGGGGTGTTTTGCCTAGAACCATTCTGTGCCTACAGACATCCAATGAATGACTGCTGAATTAATGAACATTGCCAAGTTTACTTAGAATGGTAGAAAAAACCCTAAACATTTGCCTGTGCTTAAAAGATAATGCTAAGGCGAAAAATAGTGATTTAATTGGACTCATAACTGCCCCAAGTTCCTGTGACAGCTAATTGAATGAACTGCTTACTCTACATTTTAGGAAAGATGTTCCCTCATCCGACATTTATTGTTAATCTTTCCTTCTATAATAGACAGTTTAACATTCCTCTTGGACTAGAAATAGTTCTGTGTGTGTGTGTGTGTGTGTGTATACTGCACCAATGTATATATGCATGTAAATATAGAAAATAATATACGTATAATATACGTATGTATATACGTATACACGCAAATTATGGTAAAAAATACATCATAGTTCAAAGTCTAATCCTTTTGTGAGTACATTTTGTTATATTTTATGTGGCAGATACATCTGTTATTAAGAGGTTGTAGAATTGAAGGTCTTATCTTCAGATGTTAAATGCACACTTGTGTTTGTTACCTTGTTCTGTCTTCAGATAGACACAAACCTATAGCAGGAGGTGATGAAAGGCAGTTTATGTTTAGTTGTACTCTGTTGTAGGTGGCCATGAAATTCATGAACTTGTTTTCTCCTATACTATAAGGCTTGTTTGCTTTCAGCCCATAGTCACTGAGGTCATTAGGTTTGTTAGTGGCCAGTCTATATTTTTCAATGACAGAAATGTGGCTAATAATACCGTATCTGCCTGAAGGCAGGAGATTGAACTTATTGCTTGAAGGCTTTTCCAGCTCTGATATCTACTTAGGAGTGTATTCTTTTTCTCTGAATATCACCATCCCTGAAATGTTTTTTCTCCTCATTGTTACTGTTGATAATCTTGAAAACAAACTGTTAAAAACATACCCCTTGTGGCATCTGGCCATCTTATTCATTTATAACCAGTAATAGAATATAATATGACACATGCAAATGATGATACACTTCATGGAAAAGTAGTTTTGCTGTTGAATAATATGTCCATGTTTATTTTAACTGGTACTTATTAATTGCCCTTGATTTAAGTGAGTGGGCATAAACAGTTAATAGTTTGAAAACTGAAAGCACTTTAAAAATTCCATATAAGCAAGTAATACACTTTTAAAATCACATAGGTTAACTAATGTGTTGAGTGATGTGGGCCTGATTTTATTCAAGCAAAAAATAAACTGGCAAAACTTGCCAGTAGTTATATTGGAATGTATGACATAGAAAAATGAGTATAATTATTTCGTAGAGTTTTAAATCAGGTTTTTAAATAATGCCAAATGTTTTCTTATTTCTTGACAGACATGATTCTAAGGCAAGTCTTTAGATTTGTACCTGTCAGTATAGCACCTTTATGTTCTACAAAATAACAGGAAATGGTATTATAGGAAAGCTATAATGTCCTAATTAATGTAATAATTATCTTCAGATAATGTACATCTAGTGAGATGGAGGTCATCTGCTATCATTTTAAGTAAGTTAGTTGGTAAGGGTTTTCTGAAATCTTATTTTTAGTAATTTTGGTGCTAGTATATTAGTATTTCTTCACTGCTCAGATATATCCAGTTTATATACCAATAAGCTCAATTTTCTCATTGTTCAAATAAAGTGAGAAAAAGTAGTGTATCTTAAGGTGGAGACTTGGAGCTATAAAACCCAGATGGCCAGATTGTATTAATTGTTAAAGTAAAGTGATCTGCTGTGTGAAAAACTAAAACAACAAATTTGAGTATTAGATATTTGCATGTAAGAATAAGCCCTACAACTTATGACATTTGTTTTAAAAAGCTGGAGACTTAATTGTACATTTTAGACTACTATTTAAAGTTAAAACCTCACCTAAAAGTTTTCATTTATGAAATGTTATTTCTGAGTCTAGAATAGAATATGTAGTCATTCTAGCCTGACTAAATGTAAAAAATTAGATAGTTTCATTTAGAGCTTCAGGCTTAAGGAATATTTTTTCTTTCATATAGCTGTGCAATCATATTGCTTCTGGCAAGAAATGCCAGTATGTTGGAAATTGTTCCTTTGCGCATAGTCCTGAAGAGAGAGAAGTTTGGACTTATATGAAAGAGAATGGAAGTGAGTAAAAATGAAATTTATCTTAAATATGGCCTCAGAAGTAAGGTTTCATTTCATCTGACTTTTTTTAAAGTATGCTTTCCCCCTTTTATAATATTATAGTTTATTTCCATTTGCATATAGCAGGTTATTAATGTTTCTTTTCTGCTATCATTTTTTTTTTGGTGAGGTCATATATTGAGTGAGGGAAACTCACTAGTTAAAAGATATCAGCAGTGAATTTTTCAGTAAATCAAAGGATCTAAATACATTGTTCTGTAACTAGATTTTAACAAGTTAGAGTTTCTTAAATCAATGTGCTCTTTTTTTTTTTTTTTTGGTGAGGCAGTTAGGGTTAAGTGACTTGCCCAGAGTCACACAGCTAGTAAGTGTTATATGTCTGAGGTTGGATTTGAACTCAGGTCCTCCTAACTCCAGGGCAGGTGCTGGATGCATTTTTTAATTTGTCAAGCCAAGTTTTTAAAGATGTCATTTTACCTGTAATGGTCATAATTTAGTTTTCATAATTAAATTCAACATATATTTACAGAATCTTTAATGTTCAAGACACTGTGCTAAGTGCTGGGGATAGATATAGTGACAAAAAGAAACCCGTCTATTGGGGATAAGAATGTTTGAGAGAAAACTCAGGCCATATTTGAATATTTAACTACAAAAGTTGCAACAATGAAATTCATCCTATTAAGAAAAAATCCTCCAGTTAAATGGAAGAATTTTATCAAATATTGAAGACCAGCAGTCACCATGTTCACTTCATTTAAAATACGTTAATTGTTCCATTTCACTTTTCTTTGAATTCAGGAAGGTACTGGGAAATCCTGCCATCTCTTTTTGTAGAAGGTAGTGCATTCTAACCTCTCATGTTTAGAAGAAAGTATTTGTTAAGGAATTAAAGACAAAAATAGAATTCTAGATCTTACAGAAGATACTTTTTTGTATACTTAAGAATTCTTATAATACTTCCTTCTGTTTTTAAGAAAAAGCTAGTCCTAGGTTGCCTGTGGGCAAGCTAGGTGGTACAGTCGATAGAACACCAGGCCTGGAGTCAGCAAGGTCTGTATTCAGATCTGGCTTCAGAGATTACTAGCTGTCTGACCCTGGGCAAGTCACTTGACCCTTATTTACCTCAGTTCTTTTGTAAAAGGGGGACATGCCAGAGAAGAAAACAGCAAACCATTCCAGTATCATTGCCAAGAAAACCTCATGGACAAAGTCTATGGGATCAGATATGACTGAACCACTGAACAAAGCTGTCTAACCTTACTCTGTCAAATCACTTGGGAGAATGACTTAATGAAACTCTACCAGCTCCTTGTCACTAGATTATATAGCATTTGGCAATAATGCCAAATATATGTTTTTGTTTTTGTTTTTACCAGAGAAATCAGCTTTCAGCTACTGCCCAAGATCATTACTCGTGGTTACATTATTATAAGGTGCATTCTAGTTTTTGGTCCCTTCTGGGAATATTTGTTTGATTCTTGGATTTCAGTCAGGTTCAGAATGTTAATAGTAATTGTAATATACTTCTAATCTTTATGAGTAAAGTATCAGATTCCTAACCATGTTAAGTAAATTTGCATAGGTATGGTGATGATGAAAGCTTTTAATATCAACAAACATGATATAGCGCTGAAATTGTCACTTATGGTAGTATTTCCTGATATTTTCTGATTTTAAGGTCAGTTAATTATGGGAAAGTATCTTGCAAATGCAAGAAGGATCCACAACATAGGAAGCTAACTTTTGAAGTTCTGACAATCTCAGATTTCGTTTCTAAGCCTGTTAGCTTATTTATTATTTATTACTTTCTATTTACGCATTTCTAAAAGTAGAGTCCATTATCAATTCTATTATCATATGCTTAAAATTGCATGTGTTTCCACTGTGGTGTGATCATTGAATATATGGTTTTTTTTCTTCAGTACAAGATATGGAGCAATTTTATGATATTTGGCTAAAGAGTCAAAAACCTGAAAAAACTGATGATGTAGCTGGCCAGTCAAACAAGGAAAATGGGAAACAAATTCACATGCCAACAGATTATGCTGAAATTACTGTAAGAACTATTTGATAATTATTAACTTTTTAAGTGTGGGTGTGGGTCTGAATCTGTGATTTCATCTCTATGGAGAACTTCTAGTATGACAACTCCTTTCATCAATAAAAATCTCCAGTTCATCCATAACTTGTAGTCTTAGAGTGCTGAGGGTGTTGAAAGGTTAAATGCTTTATCCAGGTTCAGCTTTTCTATATCAGAGATATGGCTGAAACCAAGTCTTCCTCTCTACCTATTCCATTATACTATGCTGCTTTATAATGATAAATTTAGCATATATAGAAAAGCATTACTTTAATTATAGCTTCAATTTCAAATTATTTGTATTACTTTTAAATTAAAACAGATAAATCTGGTATTGGCAGAATTGGAAGTATACTGGGTGAGCAATCAGAAGACTTTGGCTTCTAGTACTAATGTTAATATTTCACTTTCTGATTTCAGGCCAGTCACTTAATCTCTTTGATCCTGAATTTCCTTAACTGTAAAAATGTATTCAAATCATTACAGCGCTCAGAGTATATTTGTGAATGCTGTATGACTATGAACTTTCCTTTAAAGTCCTATTTGATGCCTCATTGTAGCAAGGAAGTAACCTTGGATTTTCAAAGACTTTGCCCAGAGTACACGAGCTTGGCTGCTGGAAAGTGTTCAAGCATGGGCCCAATAACTGACTCACCTGAGATCTAGTTAAGTTGGAAGAAGCTCATCCCCAGACAGTTGGCCAAGAGGGGACCAATTTTTAAAAGCCTATTCAAGCACAGAAGGATTGCTTGTAGCCTGCATCAATGTGTCTGCATTGATAAAAACATAAGTCCTTGAAATATTGAAATATCATTAAGGTACTTCAGTGATACCTGAAAGGGTAAGAGTCAGAAAATCAAATGGTGACATAGAAAAGAAACTGCTTTATGTTTCTAGTGCCAAATTTTTTCTGCTTGAATACTCTCAAATAACAAATATATATTTTTAAATAACATTTTTGTTCATTATCATAAATTTAACTTTTTCCTGTCTTATTTTTTTAGAATCTTACCTTTGTCATTCAGTCTATCTAAATAGTATTGATCTCTGTATCCAATTTAAAATTTCTTAATTTTTCTTAAGGTGGCATTTTATGTACTTTTCCTCCTGCCTTTAGAAAAACATTTTTATTCTAGGAATTTCCAGATGGTTGTGGGCAAAAAGTACTTTTAAAAGTCTATATTTTTTATCTTTGTTCCCTCCATTATTTTTCTTACTGTCATTGCTTGTTAAAGGAATTGGCTTCCTTTTGTGTGAAGAAGTGTATTACTTTTGCTCCTATTTCATGTCCTAAACTATTATTTCATATTGTATCTGAGTGACTTTTACTGTAAATTGGCTTACATTAGAAATGGAGGGAGTGTAGTGGAGATATTTCAATAGGACCTGACCTAGGATTCTAATTTATCATTAACCAGCATCTGTATAAGGGTGTTTAGAATCACTAATGAGAGTAGTCTTCCAAAGTTGACTCAAGTTCTGGATTGCAGTAGACTACATTCTGGACTTAAAGATCTTTGAGAACTGTTTCTTACTTTCCTTGTATGTAGTATTTTCTTTTTCAACAGGATCCTTCTCATAATTGATAGATTGTAGTAATTAATCATGTAGGCTTTATAAGTTAGAGATGAAGTGTCAAGTAACTTTCAGACCTAACTATTGAAATGATTGATAGCTTTGTAGAATGTGCCTAATTCATTCTCATCTTGGGGGCCATTTAAAATTTGATAATATATCTTAGAGCCTTTTCTTAATGCTCCTAATGCTTTAAAGGAGGCAGAGGTTGGGAGGCAGACTAGAATGAAATGCTTTAAATTATCATGGAAGGAAAAAAGAGCATTATTTCAATATCAAAGCTGGTCACTTTTGCTTGGGATAATCAATATAAAACCTGTTTAAATGGATTTCTTCAATAAGTTTAAACTTTTAATAAACCAGCTTTTATGTTATTAAGTCTAATTTTCATTGGGTAATAACTTTCATTATTTTTATGTAAATAGGTAGACTTTCACTGCTGGATGTGTGGGAAAAATTGTAATAGTGAGAAACAGTGGCAAGGTCACATTTCTTCAGAGAAGCACAAAGAGAAGGTTTTCCACACAGAAGATGACCAGTACTGCTGGCAGCACCGGTTCCCAACAGGATATTTTAGTATTTGTGATAGGTATGTAAATTATAAAATTTCAGACTTGAAAATTATTTATCTCATAGTTTCTTTTTTAATTTATTATTTTTCTTTTTTGTTTTCACATTGCCTTCATTACCTTTCATTTCATATACTTTTCTCTCCCCCTGCCCAGCAAATCATCCCTTACAACAAAGACTAATAAATAAGGGGGAGAAAGCACTTTAGCAAAAGTGACCAACGCATTAGTTGAGTCTGATATTGATGTGATTTTTCACATCCATAATCCCTCAACACATCAAAGAAGGGAGGGAAATGTAATTTTTTTATCTTTTCTGGGCTGAGCCTTAGCATTATAATTACATAACATTCAGTTTTGTTTTGTTGTTCTTTCCATTTACATTGTTGTTAATGTATATATTGTTTCCTGGTTCTGCTTACTTCACCTTGCACCAGTTCATATATCTTCCCAGTCTTCTTTGAATTCTTCATAGTCATAATTTCTTTTCAGCAACATAATATTCCATTACATTATTGTGCCATAATTTATTTTGCCATTCCTCAATTTATGGACATTTACCTTTCCATTTCTCTGTTACCAGAAAACAATGATGTTATGAGTATTTTGGTGTATATGGGTCTTTTCTATCTTTGACCTCCTCCAGTATATGTATGTTGAACCATGGGATCCCTTGGTAAAAGGGAAGGGACATTTGTGGCACTTTTTTTCTTTTTTGAGGATGACCTTTTGAAATTATACATGCAAATTGGCATAGCATGTACAATAGGATTGATCTTTAGGTTGTCCAGGGTCTAGTAAAATGGTAGTCACTAATGGTCAGTGTAATCACTGAAGTGATCCATAAATATAACTTAGTCCAACTTGATGAAGCCTACGTCTTACGCATACTGCTGGAAGCACTGGCAGCACACGTTTAGGCCATATTTGTGGATCCCGCCATGCCGGTTTGAACAGACGCAGCACAACTGAGATCCCTGGCCAGATTTTCGAGGGTGGCTCCAGTAGAGCTGCTGGTGACCCATGGCACCACTAGCAAAGACACAAGACAAAAGGAAGCCACTTTTTTTTTAAAGCATAATTTCAAATTGCTTTCCAGAATGGTTGGGCCAGTTCATAGTTCTCCCAATAGTGTATTAATTAACAAGTATTAAGCACTGTGCTATGTACTAGGGCTACCAAAAAAGAGAAACAATCACTTAAAGCTTAAGGAGTTTATATTCTGTTACGGGAGACAACAAAGACATATATAAATAGGACAGAATATATGCAGAATAAATACAGAATTAAAATGAGGCTATTAAATGGAGCTCTAATAGTTGGAGGAGTCAAGAAAGGCATCATGTAGAAAATGGTACTTGAACTGAGTCTTAAATGAAGTTAGGGATTCTGTGAGGCAGAGGTAAGGAAGGGAGTGCATTCCAGGTATGGGAATTGGTCAGTACAAAGGCATGACGACTGGAGAAAGGGTATAATGTATAAGGAACAAAAAAGGAGGCTAGTTTTTCTGGACTGTATATTTCAGGAAGGAGAATAATGAGACTGAAAACAGGTTGGGATCAAGTTGTGAAGGGCTTTAAAAGCCAAAGCAGTTTATATTTGATTCAAAAGGCAACAGGCTACCACTGGAATTTATTGAGTAGGAGAGTAAAACAGTGAGACCTATGCTTGAAGAAAATCACTTTGGCAGCTGTGTAGAGGATGGATTAGAGTGAGAGACTTGAGACATGGAGAACCATAGGAGTCCATTGTAATAGTTCAGGCAAAAGAAAATGAAGTCCTGAATTAAGGTAATAGCTCTTTTAGGAAAGAGAAGAGATTAAATGCAAGAGATGTGGAGGTAGAAACAGCAAGATTTGATGAGTCATTAAATATGTGCAGCAAGGGATAGTGAAGATTCAGTGATCACACTGAGATTATGAACCTGAGAAACTGGACTAGTGGTTGTCCTTTCCACAGAAATAGGGAAGTTCTGTAAATGTAGAGGTGTGGGGGGAAAGATGAATTTTGTTTGGACATATTGAATTTTAGATGGATTTGGAACATCCGGTCTGAAATGTCTAATAGGTGATATGGAACTGGAGGGAGCTCAGGAGAGATTTGGCCTGGATATAGAGATGTTAGTCATTTGCATAGAAATGCTAATCAAGCATATGGGAGCTGATGAGGTCACCAAGAATATAAAACCAGAGACAGAAGAGAAGTAGCGTGCCTTTCTTTAGTCCCTCTATCATTAAGCATTTCCATTTTTTGCAGTTTTTGCTTATTGGGTGTGAGGTAAAATATCAGAGTTTTTTTATTTGTATTTTTCTTTTAGTGATTTAGGATAGTCTTTCATGTGGTTAATAGTTGTAATTCTTTAGAAAATTATTCATGTCCTTTGACCACTTATCCACTGATGAATGATTCTTAGTCTTATATATTCATATTGGTTCCCTGTGTATCTTTGATATCATATCCTATCAGAGCTATTTAATGCAAACATTTTCTCCTCAAGTAATGGCTTCTCTTATCCCAGTTGCACTGATTTTGTTAATGGAAAAGATTTTCAACTTCATGTAATTGAAATGATGACCAGTATTTAATGATAAAGAAAAAATCATGGATATTAAGAATTCAGAAGAACCTGAGACCATTTACATGAATTAGTTGATAAAAATTGAAGCAGAACCAGCAAAACAGTATGCACAATGACTGTAATTGTGTAAACAGAAAGAACAAAAATCCGAAGCTGAACATGGTGTAATTGTAGTGACCAGTTTTAGCCTGGCAGAAGAATTCAGAAAAATGCCCATCCCTCACTTTGTAGAAGTGGGGGACTATGGGAGTGTAACTTCACATATTACTATGCCTGGTGGATATATCGGTTGTTTTTCTGAACTGTTTTCCCCCCTCCTTTTTAATTCTTTGGTGCATAGGATGGATTGTTGGATGGTAAAGGCAGAAGAGGAGGGCTATATTACATATGATGTAAAAACAAGAGTTATTGGTTAAGATGCCAGGAAATATAAGTAGATTATATTTTTTTTGAATGTTTTATTCTTTATCCATTTTTACCTGGAGGATTCTCCAGGACAAATATATGTATTTTATAAAATATTCTCTGCGGTGACTATTTATATTCAATTTCAAAAAGTAGAATCTTGTTTAGATAACACTAGAAAATTTAAAGTGTTTAAGTATTTTATATTTAATGCCACCTATAGTTTTTTTATTTCCCTTTATTGGTAATGTACAATATCCTAAGTATCTTTCAGTCTGTATTATGTATGTTTGAAATCAAGATCACAATAATTCTCAAGCAATTCATTAACTTTTTGAGCATTAAGAATCTTAAGGTCTTGTATAAAGAGACAAGTTTAATTAATTATACAAATCCTTATTTGACAATTTGGTATTAGGACAACAGATTAAGCTTCAAGCATAAATTTCTTTTAATAGATATGTGGCTGGTACTTGCACAGAAGGAAACAACTGTAAATTTGCCCATGGAAATGCTGAACTTCTTGAATGGCAAGAACGAAGAGATGTTCTAAAGATGAAGCTTAGCAAAGCAAGAAAAGACCACTTGATTGCACCAAATGATAATGACTTTGGAAAATATAGTTTTTTGTTTAAAGATTTAAACTAATACTAAAAGTGATATGTATGTTTCCTAATCAAAGCATCAACCTGAAAATTTCAAAGTATTCAAAAGCATGTAGCAGAGAAGCTGCAAGTTTTCTGCTTGTATTGGCATATATATTGTTCCTCCTGAACAACATTCTACAGTGGTTATGAAAATGGGATGTTTAACAGATCTGGCTGAACCGTCATGAAACCAGATGGTAAAGTGACAGGCTGCCATAAAGTATACCAGATTTGCCATCTGTTGAACATAATTTTGGATGGAAGGTTGTTAGGGGGGAAAAGGATGAGGAAAAGGAAAAACCTCTCTTGAGTTGGTCCTTAAGCTAAGACCTTTAAGGTAAGATAATAAACAAATGTTCTGGAATAAGAAGAAAATGATGGATGAAATTCTTTAAGTGTTTTAATGGAAAGAGTCTGTTTAAAAAGAAATAAAGTTTGCTACTTATCTGTATGTAGGTTGCTAAAAAGGATTTTCTTAATAAAGATTTTAAGCAAAATAACCATTTAACACTAGTCATATGTTGAATGGGGTATTTTTTCTCTATTTGTATGTTTCACTATCACTGAAAAGAATCTTGAAGAAAATGTGCACTAAGAATTTTTGGAAAATCAATTGGCTAAAATTTTGATTTTTTTGGTCTTTGCTGTTAATGATGATTTTGAAAGATTTTACTTGTATTGTTGGTATTGTGTATTGTATGGACCAATATTGCCTGTAATAAAACTTTATATAGATGCCTTTTTGGGGGGCGGGGGGCCAGTCCTTTTTAATGAAAGAAGTATTGATGAAACATTTTATTTTCCTATTCAACATTAAGGTTTCTCAGTTTTTTTTGTAGTCAGGAAATTATGTACTAAATGCTTAAACATTTAGCTGCCTCTTTGAATGGACACTTTTTCTTTCTCTTGTACGCTTTCCTTTTGGATTAATAACCTTCTATGTTATTGACGTACATGCTATTTCTTATATTAGCTCTAGTGCTGTTCCATGTTTTATCCTAAAAGGAGTGCATGATATCTTCTGAGGAGGTGAAACCCAATACTATGTCATCCTTAGCTTTTTACAGTACCAACTTTCATATCACTTTATGAGGTCATCCTATCCATGCTATTTTGAAATAAAGCAGTAATGTAATTAAAGTAATAAACTACTTCTACTCACTGCTAAATTGCTACTCTTTTCTTTTATAGATAATTATATGTAGTTCATGTTTATGATTGTGTGTGCATTTTTAGTTAATGTTTTGAACCTAATAGTTTTTTTAGTCTTTCTGTTGGCAACGATTTTAAGTGCAGATGTTTTTGTTTAAAGATTTAAACTAATCAAAGCATCAACCTGAAAATTTCAAAGTATTCAAAAGCATGTAGCAGAGAAGCTTCAAGTTTTCTGCTTGTATTGGCATATATATTATTCCTCCTGAACAACATTCTACAGTGGTAGAATTACTGAGGAAAAATTTCACCAGTACATGATTTCTGTTGAAAATTTTGTTCATTAGAACAACACTTGTTCTTGAGACATATACAAGTCTAATATTTTTTTGAAGGCTGGACAATGGGGGCAGATTTTTGCCAACGACTTTTTGTAATGATTACAAAATCTTTTGTAATTGAGTTCAACAAATGTGGTATCCTTGTTTGAGGTCCCCATTTTGACTTTTTCCATTAAGTATTTATATTTATTATCTGTGAGAGAAGTCTAGAAAGTGCTTTGAACTCCTTACAAGAAGTATGGCACATGAATAAAACATTTCTGTTCAACCAGACAGAATAGTCTAGACTAGTCTGAAGCAGCTAGGTTGTATAGGGGATACTGTGATGAACCTGGAGTGAGGAAAACCTGATTTCAAATATGCCTTCAAACATTTACTTGCTATGTGACTCTTGGCAAGCCAACCTTTCTCCTTCAGTTTCCTTATCTTTAAAATGGGAATAATTAATAGGAACTATCTCTCAGAGTTGTTGTGAGGATCAAATGAGATAATAATTGTGAAGTGCTTTGCAAACTTTAAATTTCTACATTATATTATTAGTATTATTATTATCATTATCATTATGTCATTAGCTTTGTCCTCATTCTCATGACAGATATATGCCTTTTTGGAGAGTTGTGCAACACTGGTGTCAGGCTCAAAGCATTTCTACAGGAAATAATAATTTTTAGTGATAAAGCAAAAAACTGTATAGGTCAAGAACAAATCAGAAAATAAGGTATTGAAAACAGTGGTATGATTTGATATGGAAAATAGTTAATTCCCAATTTAGTTGTTTTATAGTACTTCCAGTGACTATTGAGGCTGTGATGAAGCTACTACATAATGCTGGAATACAGTAATGCATATATATTTCCACTAATGAGTATCTTCAGAATGAGTGGGATAGAGACCACCTACCCAAAATAAAATTCAGAGGTTTCTCTGAGTAGAAACAGAAGTTTTATTTAGCAAGTCTCATGCGAGAATTGGGCTTCACCTACCCAGGGCAGACTGGAGTAGGGAGGCAGGATACAAGCAGCAAGCAAGCAGTTATATACCCCTAGACAAACAAAATCTAAGAAAACCCCACTCTCCCCCCTTTTAACCTGAATCTCCTTATCCCCCTTGGTTGAAGTAAGAGAACTTACATTCTACCCAGAAACTAAGAGATACATTTTACCCAAAACAAGCTTGGAGGCTAGAAGATTGCCTTATTTGGCAAAGATAAGGCTGGGGTGGTGGTTACAAAACAAGGGAGGGGGTGGGTAACAGGGGTATGACCAGATCACATGATTTACAGAAAAACTAAACTTAGGCCCAGCTAATGCTAAAGCCTTAACTAAATTTTGGGGCATAGCTTCCATTTCATATGAGAAACTTTCACTTGTCCCACACATGAAAAATCTCAGTAACTGTTCTGTCATTCCAGGTTAGTGGTCCTCTGCTTTTCAAGATGACTGCCTCTCACTGTTCTCCTAAATCTTGAGGGAACTGCATAATAGATTAATGTTTGATATTGGATAATTGACTGTGCCTTTATATCAGATTAGTTATAAGTGCATTTTTAGTAATACCTTAGTTTCAGTATTAGATCCTTGTAGCAGAGGACCTTTCTTCAAATCCTAGTTTTGCTACTTAATATACCTGTGTGAAGTTACTTCTCTAGACCTCAAGTTTCCTCATCTGTAAGATGAGGGGATTAATGATACTAGACTTCTGTGGTCTCTTCCAGCTTTAAATATTGACCCTATGATCTTTCAGTATATTTGTGATCTTATCCATGTGGAGTACTCCTTCCACCAAGACAGATTGCAACCAACCTGTGAACTCATGCATTGTCCTCCAGTGGCTATTCCTAAATCTTGCTTACTACCTTTTCTGATTGTATATCTTACATATTTTACACTGCTTCCCCTATGTGCAATTAATGGTTTGTAATGTTATAGTTTATTCATGCTTACATGGCAGCTTTGACATTTAGCCCTGCTAGCAAAACTATGGATAGGGCACCTTGAATGGGGCCTCAGGCAAATGGAGGAGAGAGAGACAGCTCTATGAATTGATGCTTTAAAAAAAAAAAAGTGCTGTCTCCTGTACAGTTCCCAATCTCCCCTGCTATTATCAGTCACCAAGGCAGAACTGCCCCCACTCCACTTTTCACATATACCTAGGATATATGCTGTCCCCTTGTAACTAACGCTTGTTTCTCTTTAAGGCACCTTTATCTTTACTTAATCTTATTTTACTTGGATGCTAATGATGGTTGGAATATGTAATAGTTCTTTCAATAAAATTTATTAATCAAAAATTCAATGATTATTTTTCAGGCACTATGCTTTTATATACTGGGGATTCAGGTACAAATAATAAAATAATCCCTATTCCCACGGTAATGGTAGAATAGTAGAAATGGTAGAATGGTAGAAATGGTAGAAACAAGTATATACAGCATAAAGTTAGTATATACATACACACCAAGTAGTTAAATACAAGTAAGTTTAGGATCAAGGCACTAGCATTTGGGATTAGGAAATGCTTTAAGCAAAGGTGGTTTCTGAGCTGCATCTCAAAAGAAAAGACTAGACTCAATTACACATAAGAAGGGGAGCGCATTCCAGATAGAGGAATGGCCAGAACAAAAGCACAAGGCAGGTGATAGTGTCAGTTGAGAGGAGAAATGAGATAAATTTGGCTAGTTTACCAATTTTAGGGGGGAAAATAATCACCAGTGACACTAGGAAAGATAGGTTAGAGCCAACATATGTAGGACTTTAAAAGTTAAACAGCTTATATTTTATCCTAGAGACATTAGGAAACCGTTGGAGTTGAATAGAGGAGTCACATGGTCAGACCTGTACTTAATAGAATTTACTTTGGCAGCAATGCATTGGAGTGGTGAGATTAAAAGTAGGAAGATCAACTAAGAAGCTACTGCAATACTCTCGATGAGAGGTGATGAGAGCCAGTACCAATGGGAGGGGAGAAAAGGCGTCTGATTTGATAAAGTGAGAGATGTGAAGGCAGAAGTGACAAGATTTGGCTAACTGGATATGTGGGGTCAGAGAGTGAAGAAAGTAGGTTATAATGCAGAGATTATGAATCAGATACTGGAAAGATAGCGGTGCCCTCTACAGAAATAGGGAGGTTTGTTGAATTCAGTTTTAGACATCGTTTAAGTTCAGTTTAACACTTTTAAGTTTCTAGAAATACATGAGAATGATACCTGCCCTACTACCTCACAATGAAGTAAGGATGCGAAGATATAAAGGTTAGGAAATGCTTTAAAAAGCATAACTGTACACATAAGATAGTATTTTTTGAAACCAGCAGATATAGCAACTAAATGAGAATCTTAAGACTTTGCCACCTTTGTTAGGGTATTGTAAAAAGTTCTGCATTTGCAGTCACAGCCCAACACCCTATACCCTCATACTGACTTGCTCTGGGACCAGGAATAAGTCACTTTAGCTTTGTTCATTTGTGAAATGGAAGTAAATATTGGTCCTCACTACTTCAAAGAATTATTGAGGATGAGATAATGTGTATAAAAGCACTTTGCAATTTAAAAATGTTTTGTAAATGTGAAATGTTTCCTTAGAACCACATATTTATCATGCTTTCTCAGTTTTCAGTTATTTCCAGTGGGAAGCTGAATCATGAAATTAAGAGCAACCTGTTGTACTTTGTTCACTCAGTTACTAGGATCTCTTCCCCTCAATTTAATGAATACACCATTTTAACTTGTGAACAATATAATCTTCAGTTTTTCAAAATCTGTTTCTCTTTTGATCACATGGATTTCTCTGGTCATCTTTTTTTTGTTTGTAATTTAACAATGTTTAATAGAAAATGCATGAAATAATGGAAAGAGCATTGTTCTAGGAGGGTAGGGCATGGATTCATGTCTAAGCACTGCCAAGATTACTAGCTATGACAGAATAGTCTCAATATCCTTATCTGTAAAATGGGGGAGGGACTGGGTTGTGCTAGAATCTAGCTGCTAGATGTTCTCTGAGGTCCTTTTCAGCTTATATTTTATGATTTTAGAGTGATAAATCTTAAAATTAAAAAAAATTTATGGACCATTGGTGTAGGAAACTTCCAGGGTGGAAGCCACCCCCTTCCCTCAACCAATGTAGATTACCAGCTGCTGTGCTATATCATCTCATATGGTCATTTGAGGGGCATTGAGAAGGCAGGCAACTGGCTCAAAGTCAAGGCCAGTGTGGATCTATTATTTTTCCCCTTTTCATAATATCCACTTTCCCCAAGTGTTCCGTCTAATAATATTACTTATAAAGCTATGTTCTAATATGCCTGATGTCTAAGTATATTAGCATTTCTATGCACCTCATTTACCAAGAGAACAGGAAAGTGACGAGGTGTGTGCCCAGTGTTAACTTGGTTCATTAATGATCTGTGTCAGTTATGGTGAAATCCCTTTTGGCTACGGGCATTGTTATTCAGACTTCGCCTGCCAACCCGGCTTCCATTTGAGTTCAACTCGTTTTACTTTCCAGCCAATCTCCAGAGAGACATTTAAGGATCTATGCAAATCTGTTGGTCAACAGAAAACACCAGCCGTTGGTTGTGTAAAAATATAATCCAACAACTGAAGGGAGTATTGGTCGGATAATGACCCTGCCATATGGTGTGCCTATATTCATTAATAGGCCTTACGGAAAACCTGAGTG